GATATTGTGCTGACAAACCTAGAAAAATAATCGGGGTGCTGATGGTTTGATGTCGTCTCCCTAAATTTTGTGAACGACGCGTCAAGGTTAATGTAGGGACTATATAGCTCTTGCATGTGTGTGGTGCTGTACTGAATGACACGTGTCACACGAGATTTAAACAAATATTCAGGATTCAGGGCACAATGATGTCCTCTCTTCATTAAATAAACTACATTATTCACGGAAATTCAATGATTCAGTTCGGTCAGAAGTATATATAGTACCAATGTTATATTCTACTACACGTACACAAAGGATGTGCCCATAAACAGGGCACCCTTGAAGATTGGGGGCAGAATAGGTCTTCGGCAACCCATGCTTGCCCTAAATGGCGACGAAGAGGCGACTAACGGGATCGGGTGGTCAGGCTCGCTGAGTTGATGCATGACATCGTATCCCAATTGCGTGGATCGATGCTCATGATGTCAATCAATTGATTGTCTGGTCCAGACTCGATTATTTAAAGACCGCCGTCATATAGCTGGAATATTGCTGAGTGCGGCGTTAAACAACAATCAAACTTAAAAAAACCCCACTCGATCCCAGACTTGGTCCGTGCGAGTGAGTGAGTATGGTTTGACGCCGCTTTTGGCAATATTCCAGAAATATCAGGGCGGGGTACACCAGAAAATGACGTCACACATTATAATCACGCTCACTAGACATGAGATACCAGGCATATATTGTCTCTTCCTAAACAAAGCGCGCATATACAAGCATGACCCAATACAAACTAATGGCAAACTTGGTTTAACTGCAATCTGAATTTGAAAAAAATCTTTTTAAGACCACAAGATTAATAAGGGAGAAGGCGTCCTAAGTTGGAGAACGTGTACCCAATCCCAATCACTTTTTGTGAATAAAATATGTTTAAATCAACACGGTTCCCCAACTTCCTTTTCTTGAACTTCACGTGTATATTGTCATTGAACTGTATTTCTGAAGAACGTCCGAATTGAAGAGTCCCCAAAAACCTTGTTTAAGGTTTCGCATTTGAATGAATTTCGGTTTAAATGGATTAAACGTAACAAAAGGTAGGTCACACTACCAAGTTGCAACGTGATGTTGTTGTTGTGACCGTGGACACACATGGCTAGCAGTGGCAAGGCTGCACGTGACGTCCGCGCTCCCTTCACCTGTATACACACGAGGCATGGACCTAGACTCGTGGTATTGATTCTACCTTGATGATACATTCATAGGGTCTATTAATATGCTACAGTATTGTGTCAGTGACAAACTTGGTCTTAATATTCGTCCATTTGGTGTGATATGTTATGAACACAGCATCCATATGATTAGAAGCAGCTGCAGGCAGTTGTCAGGGGATTCGTCTGGGTGCGAGACAAATGGGGCTCGTGATGTTCCCTGCAGTGTCATCAGTCCTATTATGCTGATTAATATAATTGTTATTGTCATTGTCATTGTCACTGTCATTATCATTATCAATTATCATTGTTCTTATTACAAGGATAATAAACAGTATGATAATAACAACAATAATAAGGTCCATGTCACATTATATACAATGTACTTGTTTACTGCTCCTGCTTCTACTACTACGACTACTACTACGACTACTACTACTACTATTACTACTACTACTACGACTACTACTACTACTACTACTACCACTAATTATAATGAGGATAACAACAGCAACAACAACGTGAAGCTGAGTGCTCCCATCATTGTGAACGAACTGGAGTACCATTGTGGTTACATGAACTGTTTCCAATATTCCAGATACATCACCACGGCCACTTGGTGATCACATTTCTGGGGTCGAACAGAAAACTGAATATGTAGAAACTGACTGGCATAATACGTATACACTTGAAAATTGGTTTTGACCAAAAAGTACAAACGTTATGAAAATATACCAAGCTGAAAACAGCTGATGAAACACTGCAAACATAAGTTCCAAAAAACAACTATGATAATGTTCCTGAATCAAATACACCACCATCGAATACCCTTTTCTTATTTATCCAGTTGACGCAAAACCCATGTACTCGAAACATTGATAGCATTGAAATCATATTTTGAAATTCAGCACAGTCCTTAATTGCCTTGAACATATTGTCATCAATACTTTTTCTCAAGCTATGGTCATGTTAGATAACAAGGCGCCTGTATGTTACTAATTATAAGTATCTGGTATAGTTTATGGTATTTGGAAAGTATAATTAGTATTTGGAAACGTATCTAAGTATAGCTTCATTTAGATCAACACTCACCACTGTAAACATTCATTCATTGAGCTAGCACTGTGACCTGCAATAAGTTAAATTCATGCTCCTATCGAATCGATTTATTTTTCTGTGGTCTATACACCGATATCCCGTCACTTAAAGGTCATTTCGTTACTGCTACGTACATAGTAATGTTGTTATTTTCAGCTCTCCAAATACGCTAATCTGTTTTTATCATGGTTTCTATATTTACCACAGATCGTCATATCTTTGCTGATAAAGGCAAATGTTACCCGATTAAGGTATCCTTGTGTAATTGCATGTAAATATATATATATATATATATATATATATATATATATACGTGCTGTTGATGATGATGATGATGATGATGTTGATGCAAACCGATATATCTGAAGTGATTTTCATATACATACAATTTCACATACAAAACACTTTCCATATTCATAAGAAATAGACTGTACGATTCCGATTACATCATGAGCATGTGTTTATGAATCACTATTAAACCGTCATGATACTTGGTGTTCGCGATAAGGTCAGCGTATCCTGCCCGATCGGCGGCACCCGTCAAAAACACATGCAAAGTCAAGTCAAGTGTTCACCTGAACAAACACGTACACATTTGGTACAAGTCAAATCAGGGAATTGCATTTTCGTCACTTACGAGTCAAATTTGGAAATGTCCTCCACATGTCTACCATAAAACGTGTTGAAAGCTTCACTGATGCCTTGAATGTTATAAATAACCTCTGAACAAGATTCGTATGAAACGCTTTGAAATGTCCCTAGAAAGTTGTGAAATGTAGACACCAAAGGCTATAGCTGTTACATATAGGGAAAGTTGACTATTGGAAAGTTCAGAAAGTCCAGTCATCACTCTCATACAGTCAGGTAGAGAGTGTTTTGTCAATCTGAATCTAAATGCACAGATCTAAAAATGAAACTGAAGAGGCGGTCTCACTGGTCTCCTTTATTTCTAGTTCGGATGGGTAAATCAGTGGAAGTGAATTGGCTATTTGATGGTTATTGAACGATATCAGATCATCGATATACCTGAAGCATAAGTTAACCATCTCGGACAAATTAACTTGCTTTGACTTTGCCAATCCGAACAGAAATTCCTGTTCATATACATACAGAAAGAGGCCATCAAGGCGGTGAGCATAATTGGAGATCTCTATTTTTATTTCGTTCTGAGGAACGTGGTTGTGTAATTTTGTCGTGCAGCTCACATCCACCATTGCTATAAGCAATAAATGACATGGTATAAAACGGGGGTGAACGTCCTTGTTGTCGAATATGAAACGTAGCGTCTTTGTGTTTTTAATGTGGTTCATGTACCTTACGTATACTTTGGCCCTCTAAGCGTTGTGGATGTTGCGCATAAACACATGTTCGTCTGGGGGTCCACAACTGTTTATTTAGACAAGAGGTCTGACGTGTTCAGGCCAAGTCAAGTCTAAACTAAACTAAACCTACACTGCCCGGGTCTATTGCCTGGTCCTTGTATAGAACAGTTTCGTCTGCTGAGTGGTCATGGTCTTTCCCTTGTTCACACCCACGTGTACTTTAAACTATTTGCAAATATATGATCAATAGATGTCCAGCGCTTGACCACTGTCACTTTTTGGTCAAAGTGTTATTGACCAAGGTGTTGAATTACTGACCAGGATATAATCTCCAGAACTACTGACTAGGGTGTAGCCTCCAGATATCGGTTCAAAGGGTGGATGTTTATTTCGAACCAGTACGTAGACTGTTAACATATACTATGGGACCGTCTATTAATGCCTTGTGGTGACTTGCCATGGGTCCCATCTAAAACGGAAATGCCAACAAAGATGTCTCGTGTCATGAGAAGCTAACTCTCTTATCCATAACCTGCTTAACAACGTGTTCAGTTGATTCCCACGTGTTTCACAACGCATTACCCACTAGACTAGATAGAAGAGAATGGGTGAGTTGGGTTTAACGCCGCTTTTATCAGTATATCAGTTATATCACGACGAACCCATGCTTGTCATAAGAGACAACTATGCTTGTCGTATGAGGCGACAAGCGGGATCAATTGGTCAGGCTCGCTGACTTTGGTTGATGCATGTCGTCGTATCCCAGTTGCATAGGCCGATCCTCATGATGTGTATCTCTGGATTGTGTGGTCCAGACTCGATTATTTACAGACCGCTGTCATATAGCTGGAATATTGCTGGGTGCGGCGTTAACCAACAGACAAACAATACAAATATATTACGGCGTGTCAGCTTAATGTTTGAGGAATACCTGAAGTGAAGCAGGTCTTAGACGTTTACTACTTCGGTGAAGCCAATGAGCAGGGGTATGGTGCTGACATCCCATAAATATAATCGGGGCGAGCCGGGATTCGAACCCACAATCATAGCCTCCTGGTTTGTCCAAGGGACGCAACTCTGCACATCGAATTGTGGCGCTTTAACGACATGGCCACTTGTGCTCCCGAATGTATCGAAGAGAAATTAGGTATATAAGAATTTACTCAACAACGACTTCACGTGGGGCTTGACACTGATGTCAACTGACGTCAACTGTTGATAAATGTGTATACCTTTAATCGGGAGGACATATTTATTACAAAATGACTTGACATGTTTTCAGATGTTTTCATTTCCTTGTCAGAGGTTTGCTGCCTACCTTAACCTTGAGCTGTCACCTGAAGGACAAATTTGTGTCTGTTTAATCGAGAAGAGTTCCAATACGTCACCGTATATTTGAGCAATACAATAGCACTGGTTCGATCGAAGCTAAACATAGGAAGAAACAGTCATACACGGAAGCGAACAATAATTGGTACATGTACACTGATGTATTATCATCTTCGTGGACATCTTAATTGCTGGAACGAAATGTAAGTAGCTGTCTGGGATACGATACCGTTCTAATTAGAAGCTTGTGTGTGGTTAGTTTGTGCTGTCGACCGCGTTACATCTAGTGCGAGGCCAAGCCTACAATACCAGTCAGTATATATTAACGAGGACAAACACGTGCTTGGAAAACACGGGTCACGTTGACCATCCCACGTGAGGTTACTGTGTGATGAAACGTACTGTGTGGAGACAGGTCAACCCGGCAATATTGTCAACTTCACTTTGTCAAAGGTATCGGATATCGGATGAAAAAAGGGACATTCATTCAAACGGGTAATAGATTAAGAACAAGATAAGTGTCGTCGGGACGCTACGGTGGCCACGGCCCTCGCTGGGTTTAAATTGTGTAGTGTCATTCCTTTCGCGAACACCTAATGTTATTATTGTTATTTTTATAGATTCGTAGGGGTATATCTTGTAGCTGTCATTTAGTTTGAACGCTATGAATGAATTCATTTAAGCCAAATGACATTTTGAATCAAACTGAATCCATTTTGTACCCACTTTATCAAGGGCTTGTAGCAGTCAAATGGTGAGCAGTTAAAACGGTGGAATTCAGGATATTTGCATAAAATATTTGTAAATATGCAAATGATGGCTGGTTTAACTTTGAAGCAGAGTTTTAATTCATGCCACCGTGTGTGCTTTAACTATTTTATCATCCAAAACTTGCAACATCAGGAGATACCGCTTGCGTGAGATCAAGTAACTTCTCCTGGGAGATATCGCTGCAATAAAACTGCATCACAATGTTTTGGAGACCACGACGTGACAATCAAATGACATCACTAATCTGCTACTGAAGTTGGTTAGATAAACCTTTTTACACTCAAGGCACTAGTTATTACTGTTTACAAACTGAAAAAAGGAAGAACGATGTTGGGTAATAAACAGAATCTCACCCTCGTGCATAATATCAAATATATCAACACTCGATTGACACTTTTATTGACTCGTGCAGATATATTTGATATCAAATGACTCTCAGCTGAGATTCTCTATAAATCAATATTCTAGATGTAAAATGGTTATCAAGGTAAATATAGATCATGCACGATAAAGGTCACTGGTCGTCTCATCCTAAGAGGCTACATACATTAGAAAACTGTTCAAATTGTTCAAGTGCTGACAATAAAGGCCAACTTTAAACTTTTAATCCCAAAACATATTTCGAAGAAAGGGCAAATTATGTCAAGTTGTTTGATTAAAAAAAGTGATGGAGCCCGTGTTTGAATTAAAGTCAGTGATGAAGAAATATTTGTTAATAATATCTCATATACTTCAGTCTTTAAAGTGATTGAGTATAGTATTACGCAATATTCAGCAATATCACGCCGGGGGACACCAAGAATGGGCTTCACACATTGTACCCATGTGGGGAATCGAACCCTGGTCTTCGGCGTGACGAGCGAACGCTTTAACCATTAGGGTACACCACTGCCCAACTCTGCTAAAAACTGATATGTGTTAAGAATGATTAAACATTGAACTTTTTTCAGACGTTAGCAAGGTGTTGATGCACACTCAACTCCGGTAATACCTAATTCAGATTCGGCAGACTGTGATGAACAAAATCAAATAATTATTTTGGTTCATAGGAAGAGACTTCGGATGAAACAAATTGGTTAGAGGGTTTCTCGGAGTTCCTGACATACAAGATGCCTCTTCTGTAAGTTCAGGGGCTATAATAAAACAAAAATTGGACACTTTTATATATAGTGATATTGAGCACCGGTACGGAAGTCCTCACAAAGAACGTCACCCTTCTCTCAAAAAATGAACTGAAGAGTTCCGCATCATTAGACAGGCGATCCTGACGCATCACAAAGTATGTACTTGACGTTGGTGACGTCAAAAGAACTGAAACAGTGGAAGTTCTTTATGAATTGAGGTATCGGATTTTACCTTAATGGCCTTCGTCTCGATACTTTGTGTCGTCTATCCTAGTTTATACTTCTGGTTGATATTTCAGGAGGCAGTTTTGGAAACGTGCGTCATTGGAAACAGAAGCGAACATATGTGATCTTAAGCTTGCTCAATAGTCCAATGAGTTTAATGGAACATGATGCGAACAAATGAGAATACGATGTTTTTAATGCTTTCTCGGAGAAATGAAAACAATGGTGTATTAAAAGAACATGTATGTGAGAATGTATTTCTACTTTGTGAATTATTCAAAAGTTACCTTAAGCTACAAAAGGCATTAATAATATTCAGATCGTTCTTATCTTATTCTGTTGTTGAAATAGCAAACTTTGTTATTTCACAAACTATAGATATTTTTTTGTCACGCCGAAAAACCAGATTCGATTCCCCACAAAATAGGTAAAATACGTGAAGCTCATTTTGGTATTCCCCATCGTGATATTGTTGGAATATTGCGAAAAACGGGGTAAAACCATATTCATTCACTCACTTAATAATGTTCCTAAAATTATTAATTCCATCAATGTCGAGGTATTTATTCAACAGCCCGACCGAGTAGCCTGTTAATAATCGGAATAGTACTACCAAAAATATCTTGAAATTGGATAAAACATTTCTTGATAAATAACCATTACTTTGTCGAACCACATGTTAACGAACGCAATATAGCTATTACCACAAAACAGGTGCCCCGTGGAATTGTAAAAATAGGTTTGTCATTACGGGTTCCAACTAAATGAGACGACGTTTTCAACCAAAATACCGAGTTCCTTTACCCATTTACTCGATGACATAAAAAACACCCGGCAAGATATGATAGTTAATCAAATAAAACATTACCATACTTTCAAATAGTGAGACCTGGTGTTCGCGCAAAGGTGAGCGAATCCTGCTCCGCCGGTAGCACACGTCACAAACGCGAACTGATTATAGAGATGCTATCAAGGCGCAGTATCTGGAACAGACTAGGGCAACGTACCGCTCGCTTGTCGAAAAAGCCTTCTGATTACGATTAGAAGAATTGTTGAATGCGTGTTACCCTGTACCGTTGGCGATCGTTGCTCATGCTTTCAACCACTGGTTTGCCTGGTACAGAATTTATACTTTACATACCACTGTGACATAGCTGACCTTTTCTGGCTGCGGCATTGCACAACATTCTTTCACTCATTAACCGCATCTATAAAACTGTTCAACGAATTAGTACCGCTTTTCTGTAATGGGTTTAGTTTAATTACAACCCATTTTTAAGCGTAAACCTAGATGGTTTTAATTAATCGTATTTTGCGTTACATCCGGATTGCCTTTTAACTTTATACCGACAAGTCACATATGTGGCAATGAGAGAAATTATTCCTCTTGAAAAATACATACCATATATACCTTATCAAGCTCTTACCGGCAAACTATCTTATCAGTTTATGATAAAAACTTATCTCAAACGACGAAATGTGAAATTAATTCTCACCGTACAGGAGTGGAAAGTTGTTGGTTTGTCTGCGAACAAATGCATGACATTTGAACTTCCTTGTCACTTTCCCTCTGACGTTACAGTGAATCAGCGAGTCACGTGGCTCATGAATATTCATATAAGTAACTACATAACTACCTGAAGCTTTTGTTAAGACATTACTGGTAATGTATCGTTTGTGATATGCGAGGGCTTGGCACCACGACATAAAGGTAAGGCAGACATATAGATTTGACAATTACATGCGTTCATGTTTTCAACTTTATTTTTTCCGTTCACAAGCCTGTTTCATCCTCTTCTACGGATATCATTTCAGGACATGTTAAATAATATGAAATAAACATGAAAGTTCTGCGTGATGAATTATAGCATATTTACTTCAGTGCATATGTCTATATCTATATGGGTCACGACACGTGTCATAGATATAACTATTATATTTTTATCTCTATATTTAAGTGGCACTTTAAAAATCTGCAGTGTCAATAAAGAGTTGATTGTTGGATTTCCGCTTCATCCCTCAATCAATGCGACGTTTTGATATTGATGCGTGTACATTTATCCACCAGGATTCTGTATTCTATGGTAATCATAAATGTATGATATGACAAAAATTCGCAACCTGAATCAAATCAGTTTCTTGGTTAGAACATAGGCTTTCTTTTCGCGAACACCTGGTGTCATCACTGAACTTCAGCGAACCATTCACGTAATTTTCAACGCTCTTTTGAGCGGAATCTGTTTCGGCGGATAATTGAGACTGGTTATTCTCTGGCATTGACTTTACTTATTTGATCAGTTTACACTCAATTAATCCCCCGTTAAACTCCTGGCGGGAACAAAGTCATCTTAACTTTTCTCTGATACTGCAACATACACACGGTTGGTTTTAAAATCAATCGTGTCATGAATGATGAATACTCTTGAAGACACGTGAATGGGTTGAGGGAATGAAGTGTGTATTTATATCAGTGAGGAAATCGATTTTAGAAAGTGCTGGCACTTCACATTCGAGTTTGACAAGCAACCTAATAATATCTAAACCTACTCTCCTTGTATATATGTCAGGTCTTTATCATGCCATTTGCTTTGAGAAATAGAGGGAATTTTTGTAATTGCCGAGACCCAATCTTTCAACAATACTCTCTGGGACATTTCTATCCTACCGGTTTACATGTTGATGGTATCGAATACACTTGGGTTAAAGGACAAACGGCACAGGTTTTTCGCATGACGTAGTTTCGAAACAGACACGTGGATTGTTATGTAAGGCAAGTTCTAACTTTGAATACATATACGTACATATGAATTACATGATATAATTACAGAACCGGACATTACCTTATGTTTAACACGTGCAATCCTTTTGAATTTTGAAAAATATAAATCACAATCATCCACTTTCTTTGATTTCTGCTTCTAATCTCCCATGGTGCCGAAAAGGACAACTTGATTCAGAAGGCACCAAACGTCTTTTTCATAATCCAGTACAAGGTGCCAGGTTTTTTTAAACAGATCCTTTGGAATAATCATTTTCATTTACACCAATACAAGCTTTTTCCTTTACTTATTTCAGAAAACTAAGCTTCCACGACCTTTCAATGTTAATGTCAATGTTAAACTTGAACCTCACATACCTAGAACTCTAGCAAATGATCCACCGAATGTAAACATTGTCTGTATGCTCATTTATCGATTTCAGTACAATGCAGTGTCCGCGGTTTTTGCGTGCTGGAGCGAGAGCGAAGGGACAGGTAGAGCTTATGGCCGGCAAGTCCAGTGCGTCTGTCCCCAGTCTTCTTGACCACACCCACATCCAGCCATTCGAGGATATGCCTACACCAAGCGGTCCAAGAAGCTGGCCAGTCATCGGGGCATTATTCAACTTTAAACCATTCAGTAAGTCTATTCTCTGTGAAGTTGTCATGTGGTCCAATAGACTGGTTGTGATTGCGCACACATGGGAGATAATCATTGTGTTTTGAGATTTGTTTTTTTGTGAGCTTACTATCCCCGAGTGTTTCACGAACAGCCTGAACTTTTTTGTTGATTCGATGATCGGAAAAGTCAGCTTCAATTGGTACAATTATGGACATGGATTTCTCATTAACCGTGTAAATCTTACAAAGAAAGACATTTATGTTTTCAAAAGGTTCTTTCAGCAATGAGACACTCATGACATGACTCTGAATGGCAATGACGTCATCATGATATCATGTTTCCATGACAACCAAACCGACTGATTGGTAGCATTCAACAAGTAAGCTAAAAGTTACGCTGTCACCTTAATAAAAAAAGAGTGTCATATTGCAATTCAGTTACATAATTTATGTGGGACTGAATGCATATTTTTAAACAAGATAGCCAGACGCCGTGAAAGGTTGAGGGGATATTTCCGAAATGCCAAGCCCATTGAGCAACCTTTTCGACCATTCACATTTACATTCCCTTTTGATTTTTGTGTTCCTGGGATCCCCTTAACCAGACTTTATATGGGTTATCCGTACCTCGATAAAAAAAAGCATAACGTCGATACTGAACCGCAGTTCCGACAACATCAGTTGCATCGTCTTGGCGAAATGGCGAGCGGATGACGTCCTGGTAATATAATCTCCCCAATGTAAACTATTAACAGCAGCTTCTTAAATTATACGAACCATAAGGATATTCCAAAGCATAGTTAGGTGAAATAATGCTGAGTGTACATTAAACGACAAACAAACAAAGCATTGTCATTTAACATAAGTTAACCTTCGGGGCCTGCTGCCTACTCCTCCCTAGCTAGTCTGTGTTAAGTGAAATGGTGACGTTTCTCAAATCGTAATACTTAGAATGATATTATTTAATTGTATAGTTAATTTTGACATTTTTGAAGGCACGGATATCGATTTCAGTGGCTTTGTAAAGTAAACAATTTCTTAAATAAAACATATACAGGCATCATGGACGTCATGATGATGTAAGACCTATTGATCATCTTACAAACGAAATATCAAGGTTTTTATTGTTATTAGTTATTTTTCCAAAGTACGTATGATTCGATAGAATATATCTACGTTACAACACGGTGTAAAATAGTGCTTACCCGAACATGTATGATCACACCGACAGCGGAACAAAGGCACAGTATTCCCAACAGTAACGCCATTGCAGCCCTGTTAAAATTTAGGTAATTCTATGCCAACACGATGTGGTATATTTGTTTTTAGCAGTTTCACCACGAATGCAGGTCGGCGTGATACAGTTTCACAATAACATGCTATGACGAGCACCGCACTCACTAACACGGCAGCCTGACACTGACTTAGCGCTTGGCCTTGGCCCACTATTTCAATTCGAGCTATCAGTTTGCCATGGGCTGCTCCCAAAGGTAAATGTGGCCTGAAGATGGGATAGTTTAGACAATAACATGACACTTGGAACATTGACAAAGGTAAAGATGATACCTTAATATGAGTTATATGAAACATATGCAGAAGCTTTGTGTATATGTCCTGAGCAGTTTTTAAAGTATATTATCAAGATATTAGTGGCAGACGGCAAGAGTTTTGTTGATGAGAGCGACAAATATGAGTCAAGTGGGAGCAACTACCAAATGGCAGATTGGTGTGTCGAGGTCGCCGGAGTGCCCGCGAGGTTGTAACGAAAGCAGATGGGTCACTTTAGACGATTGCGGAAGTTCAACAAAATCTGATATATTGCTAATTCTAAACAACATTCAAGGACAAATATGTTTATAAGATTTTTTAGTACAAGGACGAACATAAATTCAATAAACATTTTGCTGATTCCACTGCCAAAAGCCCGGAGGAATGAAGTATGTAGTATTTAATGACATTCAGATGTGGGAAGACATTGTTTTGTTTCAAACTCTCTGACCTTAAGTTTGTTAGTGTTTGACGTCGCAGTCAGCCACGGCTGACGGCGACGTCAATAATCAAGTCTAGGATAGACAGTTTAGTGGTTGATATAGTGAGCAACGTGTGTCGTGAAAACGAAACCATCCAAGGCACCGAGCCTCACCTCTGAAGCCTGATCCCATTAATTTTGTATAATTATAGTTTGTTCAATAAAACACATACTTAAATCCATGAATACAAATGTCGGAGCCGGAAAGGAAAAAAGACAGCCATCATACATTTATCCAAGGGAAATAAGTCATGTCAAACATTCAACTGCAGACCGCTACACATGTCTTGGAGATTCTATGGTTACTCTGTATTTTGCGGTAAATTTAGTGAGTGAGTGAGTATGGTTTTACGCCGCTTTTAGCAATATTCCAGCAATATCACGGCGGGGGACACCAGAAATGGGCTTGACACATTGTACCCATGTCGGGATTCGAACCCGGGTCTTCGGCATGACGAGCGAACGCTTTAACCACTAGGCTACCCGACCGCCCACGGTGAATGTTGAGCAAATCATTATCACTTGTACATTCCGAATGTGATAATATTCTTATTGTGAGTATGAATAGATTGGCCGCATTATATAACACATGGCTATGTCTGGTGTTGTAATGTCTTGTTTAGTTAACGATTTGTTTGTTAAATGTTATGAAACAAATAGATTTCTCTGAACCTAAGAATACCAATGAAGATTTGTTATTGACATATTAGTGACTATCGCGCCTCTACACTCTCGATCTGATAGTTTAGTTTGATGCGAATGTTAATCTTGTGATTTATATAATTTTTCCCATTATTGAATAATGAATGTTAAGATGTGCATTTAAGGGCAATATATTCGAAACGAAATTTTAATTGAAATACACCAAATGTGATTTCAAAGACCCGGTTTCGATTCCTCATATGGGTACAATGTCGGTAGCCCCGTTCTTGTGTCCGCCTCCGTGATATTGCGCACGAACGAACGAACGAACGAACGAACGAACAAACGAACAAAGAGGGTGAGAATGGGATGGTTTGATGAAGATATGTCATAGGGTCTTGGATACTTGGATAGTGAGTTGGTGATGGCATGTAGGCCTATGTAGAGTGTACAGGTCACAAATCAGGTGAAGATATGCAGCGTTAGTCGCGGAGAGTAGTTGGATGGGTGACCGCTTTCGTCAGATTGACTACATTGAGTTTCTAGGGCTTCAAATTCGGTCCTGCCACGCACTGTCAAAGCACATGGGGTGCATGCATGTAGTGCTTCCTCAGACAAGAGACTTTATTCGAAACATGCCTCTTTTCAGCCTTTAATGGGTACCCGGTAGGATGAGATGATAACGTGACTGGTATCTCACAGGCAACTTGGATTGTGTTCAACAAGGGGAGCTGAGAATGAAAATCGAGTGCCCACTTATCCATTGATCGGGATAATTATGTAGCGCTTTGTAGCAGTGTCGACTTGGCGCATGAGTATTATATGCGCCGTGCTACAAAATCTCTTTGCGCCGTGTTGATCCTCTAGATCAAGGTTTCAATAGGATGTGTTAAACTTGTTTCTTCTGTTACAGCGGAGTTCACTGGCGTGACGATACACCGTCTTCTGAACCAGCTCCACGAGGAACTAGGGGAAACATTCCGCATCCGCCTGGGCAAGTGGTATGTTTGTACTGCCGACCCTGAAGCGATGGAGACCATCATAAGACACGAGGAGAAGTACCCAGTTAGACCTTCCTTAGACCTTTACGAGACCTACGTCAGGAGGGAAAATAGACCTGTCAACCTTGGAGTCTTGTAAGTGTTTGTTTGGTTTGTTTTTTGTTTGTGTGGTGTTTAACGCGTCAATGTTCCAACTACATCACGACTGCCTGTCATTAATTGCGCCTTGGCCCGAGTGAGTGAGTGAGTGAGTGAGTGAGTGAGTTGGGTTTAACGCCGCTTCTAACAGTATTCCAGTTATATCACGGCGTGTCAGCTTAATGTGGGAGGAAAGCCCGAAGTGATGCAGGTCTCAGACGTTTACCACTTCGGTGAAACCCACGAGCACGGGTATGGTGCTGACAAACCTAGAAACATAATCGGGGCGAAACCGGGATTCGAACCCACAATCATAGGTTTCTGGCGTGCCAAAGGGACGCAATTCTGCACAGCGAATCGCGGCGCCTTAGACGACTGGGCCACCCGTGCCCCCCCCCCCCCCCCCCCCCCCCCCCCCCCGCCTTGGCCCGAAGCCGTTACGATACGATGACACACATTTTGTTATAGAGCGTGTCACCCGATTCCCATTCGTCGACAAACATGAGGTGTTGTTGTGTGTTTGGTTGTTGTTTAACGCCGCACTCAGCAATATTCCAGCTATCTGTCTGTAAATAAACGAGTCTGGACCAGTGGTTGACATTATGAGCATCGATCTACGCAAGTAGGATACGGTGACATGCATCAACCAAGTCAGCGAGCCTGACCACCCGATCCCGTTAGTCGCCTCTTACAAGCATAGTCGCCTTTTACGGCAAGCATGGGTTGCTGAAGACCTAATCTACCCCGGATCTTCACAGGTCTGAGGGGATGGTGACCAATCCCATTATTATTCGAAGCTATGTTAAAAAGAGTGGCTAAATTTATATTAATAAAACCGTTAATGTAATTCAAATGCAAAAGAAGACGGGGCAGTCTGATAGGCCGTAATGTTTTATGCAGAGTTGCGTTATTTAGCCGTGCAAGGATCTGCTGGGAGCGCTCTCGCTTGTGAACCTTGGTCTGTCAGTATCATACACAAGCTTGCGGATATCATTAATACTATAAACGTCTCATACTTGGAATACTTCCGTGTCCCCTACATACTACTGGATTACATGTATGTGTGAAAAGTAAACTGAATATTTGTGGTCGACAAGGCTTCTGAATACGGAACAAATTGTCATCATGTATATAATTTCTCAATTAACTATGCGTGAGTGTGGTTTTACGCTGCTTTTAGCAATATTCCAACATTATCCCGGCAGGGGACACCTGAAATTGGCTTCACACATTGTAGCCATGTGGGAATTAACTATGACAACGCCCAGGTTTAGGTACGGGTGGACAAGTTGCGAGTAGCGTCTCAAGGTCATTGTTTCTTGGTTTGTCAGCACCAAGCTCTTGAATTGTACTAAAGGGGTAAACGTCTAAGACCTCCATCACTTTGGGTTGCTCTTCCTCATCACGCTCAGCGTCGTGATATAATTGAAATACTGTTCAAAGCGGCGTTAACCCAAACCCACAAACCTACACTTAGCATTTACTAAGTACTTGCAACAGATACTGCTAAACGAAGTTAAGGGCCACCTGATTCTTTCACATTACTATAGTTAATCTGTCATGCCTCAAAACTTACGGACATAGCAGGGCAGATAGTGATATGAATCGGGTGATCCTTAACTGTTTTTAAGGAGTATATTAACAATAGCGATGATTTATGGATTCCTTTGAATTACATTGGAATGCGTTGGCGTGCGTTAGACTGCTTTCAGTGCGTTTTAGTGAGCTCTAGGACCTGCATGGTGTAGGTAATACATAACCAAACAAGAAAATAGTTCCAGTTATAGGACGAATAGTTTGTTTGTTAGGTCTTTTTCGCCATGTGTAGTTCATCCTTGCTAAGGCAGAGGTGTTCCTACTGTCCACAGGAACGGTAAGGAATGGTGGCAGCTCCGGAAACGGGTCCAAAAGAAGTTGTTGCCTCCCCGGTCGGCCCTGGTGTACCTCCCCGCACAGAACAAGGTCGCGGATGAGTTCATCGCCCTTCTCAAGTCAAAGCACCTCTCGGCGCACGAGCTGAGAGAAACATATTTCAGATTCGCTGTGGAGGGTGAGTACCTATCATAAGCATTCAATATATACAGCTAGAAAACGTTAATCACCATTTCCTATATATTTCCATATTAAATAGCCATTTAAGAAAACCATCCTGTATTATGTTTCTGACGGAACACATTGTGTTTGTCTAGCAAGTGATTTACTCATACTGGAAATCGATTATATACACTCAGCGGAAGTTGAGAAGAACAACACCCGATTCTCTTATATCACTATAGCTAATCTGTTATGGCATGAAAGAATATAGAAAGAATCGGGTGTTCTTTAACTTTCTTGCCAAACTGGTATAGCATTATATTGTGTATATTTTCAGCTATATCAGTCGTTGTCTTCAACAAAAGGATGGGCTTCCTGTCTCCCGATACCATCCCTCAAGACTGCGAGGAGTATCTTACTGCTGTCAAAGAATTCTTTGCTGTGTTTAACACTTTCATCGGCAAGGCGCCACTGTACAGATTCTTCCGGACGCCAATGTACATGCGGATGAAGCGAGCGGCCGATAAAGCATATGAGTGAGTGAATGTAGTTTAACGCCGTAATCCAAAACTAAAAATATATCTCGGCAGCTGTACATAATCGAGCCTGGGCCAGGAACACCAGTGACTGTAAGCATGAGCAAAGACCCTGTTTTGGGGGCACGATGACACGCAATCGAGATATTTGGGGCCAATATTGACCTTAAAGCACCCAAAAGGGTCACCTGTGATAAGGACATTAATATATTTAATAAACACCACATACATGGGTTCAGAATTACGTTCAGACTAAATGCAGTAGAATGGAGTTCATATTATATTTTAAGGTTTAGAGGTAACCGTCGAACTGTATCCAAAGGCTGGAAGACCTTATGTAACACGTGATATTAAATACGTCTCAGTGGAATTTCCTGCCTGCATTATAACTACCACTTAGTACATATGTGTAGAAGAAGCCAATGACGCTAACATTAACACTAATGGAGTTGTGAATAAGCAGTGAAATGAGCGATCGATTGCTGCTAAAGGATTAATTGTCACGAGTGGAGACTGAAGACAGTCCACGTGCTGAGACTGAATCGAAGTGTGGTGTCGTTGTCCTGACATGTCATTGTAACTTGTAATACATTTGTTCACTGAAATGAAACATTTACTATTGTAACCAAAAACCAATTGTACTTGAATTCAAAGAAGGAACTTGTATAACATTTCCCTGTAGTGATTCTGTCGAACTTAAAGACCTGTACTTGTGTAACTGAAGCAAACTCAATGAAGTGTTGTGTGATAATCTGGCCCATGGGAACACGTTTTTGTTGTGCGTTGCTTTTCGACAATGAAATATTTACACGTGTTCTCTGGGTGCGACACAGTCGATACTGCAACCGTCTGTTTAAGTGGCGGTATCGGACTTCGCTGTACCCGGAGTGGATTGAAAAACAGATAGTTAGACAGTTAGAGTGAGTGAAAAATTAATGTTAAGAATTGATTTTATTCATGTGTGTTTGTGAGTGAGTGAGTTACGCCGCTTTTAACAATATGACTGCGGGGGACAGTAAACATGGGCTTCACACATTTTACAACTTTCGAGGACTAGATTAGTCTGTCATACGGCCCGTGAAACAAATATATCCAATAAAACCCATGCAAATGTATATTAATATTTGGCAAGTTCAGATTACTGCAGTATCAGGAAATGAAATGAGAATCTCCGGGCTCCTTATCATATTTCATAATTATAATTTAACAACTGTTTTTATTTGCAAATGTTCATTTCAGAGACTAGATGTTAGTCTTGGACTATGTGTTAGTCAAGGGATAACGCAGAGATCCCGTTAATGTAAAACAGGCTGATTTTGTATATTCAGCTACTTTTCCCACAAGCGGATGTTTTCAGACAAATGTTGTTTTTCTCAGGTTTTCCAACAAGGCTGCGACTGAGGCCATACAGCGAGGTCTGGAGTTGGAAAAGACGGGGAAGTGGGATCCTGGAGAAGCCAACTTTATTCTGTCTCTCTTCGCGTCTGGATCTCAGAGCGTGGACGAGATCAGCTCCATCATGCAGGACCTCATGGTCGGAGGCACGGACTCGGTAAGGGAGATCCCTCTAGATGTTCGTCGAACATTTTCATTACTACAAGCCGAAGTGAAATTGCTGGAAATTCATTTTTAGTACTTGGTGCTGACAAATCAAGAATCATAATCGTAGCAAATCTGGGATTCGAACCCACGATAATAGGATCCTGATAGCCGAAATATGCGCTCAGCACAGCGAAATGCGAGCCTTAGATGACTGGGCCACCCATAATAGGTAGAACATCCATCAATAATAGTAATATTCTAAAAAGCTTAGTGGGGAGTGAGTGATTATGGTTTTATGCCGCTTTTAGAAATAGTCCAGCAATATCACGACGGGGGACACCAGAAATGAGCTTCACACATTGTACCCTATGTCGGGAATGGAAACCCGGGTCTTCGTCGTGACGAGCGAACGCTTTAACTATTAGGCTACCCGACCGCCCCCCTGAACAGTTTGAAATTCGATGTAAAAACAAGACTCAATCATTCGCTCTCAACTGTGTTTTAATTTTCATTGTCTTTTACGCCTCATGGAATCTGTTTGGGCGGATAATCGAGACTGGTTATTATCTGGTGTTGACGTTTTATATGTGTTTGATTGCTATTAAGAATTACGTTTTGAATTTTGAAAACCTCATTTCCATTCCAGACGGCCAAAAATCTCGAGTTCTTTCTGTATGCACTAGCGAGTCATCCTGATGTCCAGGATACGTTGTACACGGAGGTGTTGAGGGAGGTTGGGCCAACGGGCCCGGTGACGGAGGAGGCGCTGTCCAATATGCCGTACCTGAAGGCGTGTCAGAAAGAGGGGTTCAGGTACTATACACAAGCTGTCACTGTCAGAATCTGGGTCAGAGCGGTCCCGTAATTAAAAATAATTATTATTAAATCCCGGGCTAAAGAGAGTATGCACCCATGTTTAAGTATGGATGAAAATGAAAGAAACAAGAAATGGTTATTCGATGGTGATGTATTTGATATGGTGAGTGTGTGAGCGAGTATAGTTTTACGCCGCTTTAAGCAATATTCCAGCAATATCACGGCGGGGGACACCAGAAATGGGCTTCACACATTGTACCCATGTCGGGAATCGAACCCGGGTCTTCGGTGAGACGAGCGAACGCTTTAACCACTAAGCTATCCGACCGCCCCATTTGATATGGGTATCATAGTTATGTTTTGGACCTTAAGTTTGCAGTGTTTCGGCGACTGTTTTCAGCCTAGTAACTTTTTTTTATAACGTTTGCAATTTTTGGGTCGAATCCATTTTCCACTTTCTCACACAAATTGATGCTACAGTAGAGCAGAGCATCCTTTACCTTTTCGAGAACACCTGGTGTCCTCACTGATATTCAGTGATCCAGAAAATCATTTTTTATCACTATTTTGCCTTTCACGTCCAATGGAATTCGGCAGATGATCAAAACTGATTATTTATTTATTCATGCAAATTATGATTTTGTATGACTGTGTAGTGAAATCCGGGGAAATCGAACCTATACATCGAGTTAACCGTGTTGGAAAATGTAGTGCCGATAACAATTATGAGAAAAACGTGACTACCTTGTCCGAAAGGAAATTCGATTAAAATGCGTCCGAATTGACAAAGTTTCGCTGTATTTAGATAATTAAACGATGTATTTTCTATTGTCTAGTGATTTACAACGGCACGAATTAACAAGAACACGTAGCGTAAATAGTATTATAGAATCTATTATTTGTCCAGATGCTTCTTGAGAAAATGGTGACTCAAACAACATTGTTTCAAACGAATGTCGTTGTTGCGAAAACTGTTTTAGATGAACTGTGATTGACAGAGACAATCGGGATCATGAATCACGCCAAATGACTTGTATTTCAGAATGCGTTATCCCGTACCAACAGGTACTGCTCGCATATTACAAAATGGATTGAATCTCAACGGATACTACATACCTAAAGACGTAAGTTTATTCATCAGTAGACTGCCCAGCAAAAGAAAGTATACACCCTTGTTTGGTAGTGGCTGAAAATGAAACAATCAAGAAATGTTTATTTGATGTGATGTATTTGATACAGGTGCTATATTTGTGTTTTGATCTTTACATTTGCAGTGTTTTGGCCACTTTTTTTTAGCCTAGTAACGTTTTGAAGTCTTTTGTAATTTTTGGGTCCAATTTTCAAGTGTATACTTTCTTTTGCTACTACTTTCTTACATACTGTCGTTGAGTCGACTCAAATCGGGTCGGTAGGTTACAATGTTCATCTATAACATGGTTGTATTACCCGATGACTCTACTCGTTGATCACACTATCAACCTCTAGTTTGTCCGGCCTCCGTGATATTTAAACCAACATTCCCTCACTAACTCAAGCAGATGTCATAGAAACCATAGTCCGACTGTAACCAACAGAAGCTATGGCGGGTAGCACAAACTGGTCTCAATTTGTCTTCATAATCCAGATTACATAGCAACATACACTTAAAAATATGAAATATATTAATCTTCATTAGATAATACAAAGGGCAATGAGAGCAAATGGCAAGTGGATCCAGACCAATAGTCATGATATCTATATGTACATTGTAGTTGGGGTCGTCAAAAGCGCGGCAATTCGCTGTACAGAAAACCCAATGACTGTGGGTTCGAAGCCCGATTCACCCCGATTGTTTGGTAGGTTTGTCACCCCGATAGCTTTGTCAGCATCATACACGTGCTCAAGGGTTTCAATAAATTGGTACAAACTCACTCACATGATGATGCAATAATTTCTTCTAGAAAATCACCTATATGTAGGTCAGGTCATTCATACAGCGTTATGTCTTCAACAGGTGGGACTCATAATCAAGATGCTTACATAAGCAATATAGACACAAGAACTTGAAAACTGTGTATCTTCACTAGATTATACAGCTTGATCCATGCATTTAAACATGTGTCAAAGGATAAAAAAGTTGTCATGATATCTATATGTTGGTCAGGTCATCACCGCTTTATGCGATCCCGGCATGTTGCCGGTCCCGCTAGTTCACATCACACGTGTCAACTCACAAACCTTGTTTTTCCGTATCGTGAAATCATCTTGGCTAACTCGTTTTCAAATTATTGTTTCGTAGACGTTTGTATATGTATGCAAGATCCTAACGTTATTCTGTTTTGTGATAAGTTCCAACATGTATCTGTTGATAGGCTCAGAACCTCCGTTACAGTAAATATTTTGTTGTGGTGAGGCGAGGTGAGGTGAAATGGGGTTTAACGTCGCATACAAGATTATTGCACACGTTGCATGCACGTTTGTGTGTGTCTGCTTGTACTAGTCTGGTCAGTATACTGACTCCGTGCCGACCAGTCCTTGTTTTAGCCCCTTAATGCCGAGCGCCAGACAGGGTAACAACAAGTACCATCTTTTAACGTCTTTGAGTACGACGCGGCCAGTGATCGAACCCCGCTCTACCACAAGACAACGGAGGCGGTCATTTTGCTGTGGACAATACGTGATGTCAAATATGTACAAGGACTTGAGTGTCTTTGGCAAATTGTTCCATGTGTCAAGTCAATAAATATGCAGGGGTCTGTGACCTTTGGAAAATGAGTGAGTGAGTGAGTATGGTTTTACGCCGCTTTTAGCAATATTCCAGCAATATCACGGCGGGGGACACCAGGAATGGGCTTCACACATTGTACCCATGTCAGGAATCGAACCCGGGTGTTCGGCGTGACGAGCGAACGCTTTAACCACTAGGCTACCCGACCGCCCTCTTTGGAAAATGAACAAACTTGAGGAAGTATACTTTGTGTCAACAGATCCACTGTTTTAACAATGGAACGCTTTCCAACTCGAACTACGTACTGGATAACAGCGTTGAAACTCTGATTTTCTTTTAAAGCATACGGATTGTTCCACTACCAGCTTCAGATAGTGAAGTAAGCTATCACACAACATCAGATACTCAGCGAAATGAAATGTAACTCCAAAGCACACCAATTAACCCACATTCTCCGTACAAATGTTTGTTTCGTCATAAACAGGTTAGGTCTGTCACGTTTGTCCTGACATCTGTCGCGCACTCACAGAACATTCGAGGTGCAGCGGTCAGATTGATACCAAAAAAGTATATACAGGATTCTGTGAATGTGAAGGTCACGTACTAGATTAGTCGTGTCAGTCAAGTGTTTTTGTTTCTGAAATCTGAGCGTCTTATCATTTATATTTAGTGCAACTCCATTTTGCGTAGAACAAACAAATTACCCCATTTTGACTAGAATAGATAAAATCGCCACTTTGCCCTGAACAAAAAATTCCCAGTTTGCCCCAAGAAAAAAATTCCTTTTTTTTCTGGAACCAAAAAAATCAATTTCCCTACAACAAAAAAGTTCCCCGTTTAAGCCAGAACAAACACATTCCCCATTATGCCCGGAATAAATACATTCCCCATTTTGCATGTAAGAAAACAATTCCCCATTTTACCTGAAAAAAATTTGAAGAGACGAATACCATACCTGCTGGCCCAAAGACTTTGCTATACTGTGGAAATTGCAATTGTTCTATTGCTATAAGTTGCTTTGTGAAGCCGGACCTGTGTGTCATTTTCTAAAATTATGCAGATCCTAAAGGGCAAAAAACGGTCGACGTCATCCCTTGTCCTTTCCCCCACGTCCCGTGCCCAATTCGACTCAGCGATCGTAGCGCGACAGTCATCAGTCTGTGTTAAAATATGGGAGTTACCATCACCTTGGCGCTACTACAGTCGTAAGTGTGTGTTACAGTATAGGAATTATCATCACCTTGGCGCTACTACAGTCGTCAGCCTGTGTTAAAATATGGGAGTTACCATCACCTTGGCGCTACTACAGTCGTAAGTTTGTGTTACAGTATACGAATTATCATCATCTTGGCGCTACTACAGTCGTCAGTCTATGTTAAAGTATGGGAGTTACCATCACCTTTGCGCTACTACAGTCGTAAGTCTACGTTAAAGTATGGGAGTTACCATCACCTTTGCGCTACAACAGTCGTAAGTCTACATTAAAGTATTGGTGTTTCCATCATCTTGGCGCTACTACAGTCGTAAGTCTACGTTAAAGGATAGGAATTATCATCACCTTGGCGCTACTACAGTCGTAAGTCTTTGTTAAAGGATAGGAATTATCATCACCTTAGCGCTACCATCACTTTGTGGAACGGGGCCTGCTCTTTGCTTACACTATCAACCACTGGTTTGACATGTCCTGGCCGCCATTACACTAAGGTCACATCCCCTCACTAACTCAGTCACTACCAACGTTGGCTGCAACCGACGGAGGCAATCACTAGAGGCTTAAGTTATCCTAATAACGGTGCTAATATACCAACATAAGCATAAAATGCATTTAAAAAAGAAAAAAGAGACAAAGAAATTAACCTGACAGCTGGAACAAAACACAGAAATGTGTGTCACGAGTACATGTACAGATAGTTGCCATGATATCTATATATAGGTCAGGTCATCCACGCGCCGTGATGACCTTGGGTGATCTAGTCAGCTGACAGTTACCACAGCACTCAAACATACGGATCAGGGTGAATAACAATGCAAGTTATTCGCGTTACATAATTAATTAACCCCCAAAGAGACGACAAGGTTGTCAAATCATCTATTGTTGTAAGGGCTGACAAAATCGGGCGGCCACAATGCATAACCTGGCAGATTGTGAGTCATCGCACGGTACAGTTTCTTTCTCGTTTAGGGGGAACGGGTTGCCCAGTCGTCTAAGGCGCTGCAATTCGCTGTGCAGAGTTGCGTCCCTTGGGAACGCCAGAAACCTATAATTTGTGGGTTCGGATCCCAGTTCACCCCGATTATATTTGGATTCGAACCCAGGATCAACAGACAAACAGACAAACAATACAAATATATCACGGCCTGTCAGCTTAATGTTAGGGGAAAGCCCGAAGTGATCCTGGGCCCACTTGCACAAAGCGATCTTAGCGCTAAGATGATCGTAACTCCCATAATTTAACATAGGCTTACAATAGTCGTAGCCTTGTGCAATTGGGCCCAGGATTACTTCGGGCTTTCCTCTAACATTAAGCTGACAGGCCGTGATATATTTGTATTGTTTGTCTGTTGTTTAACGCCGCATCCAGCAATATTCCAGCTATATGACAGCGGTCTGTAAATAATCGAATCTGGACCAGACATTCCAGTGATTAACATCATGAGCGTCGACCCACATTAAGCTAACACGCCGTGATATAATTGGAATACTGTTAAAAGCGACGTTAAACCAAACTCACTCACTCACTCTTTCTTGTTTATGTCACATTACAGCCCGTTGCGTAACATTCACTCCATCAATAACGGTTCTTACTTTAAGACACCTGTCCAATTATACAGAGGGCATGCCTGACCAAGTGGTCAATGTGCAGAGTTCCTTCCCGGGGCAGTAACAGAACCCTATGATCCTGGGTTCGAATCCCATATTTGCGCTGATTATGATTCTTGGTGTGTCAACACTGTGCACGTGCTTGTGCATCAGTTGGGCTTCCCACATCACGTTGACGCGCCGTCACTGAAATATTGTGAAACACCGTGTTAAACAAAACTCTCTCACCTCCTCACTTGCATATTGAGTCAAATGGCGAATTTCTCTTCACAGACAATTGTCATCATGAACAACCCACGTCTACTGAAGAACCCTGAATATGTGAAGGATCCTGACAAGTATCAACCAGATCGGTGGCTGAGGAATTCATCGGGTCAGCTGACGAATAATATACCTGGTGTGGGGCTTCTACCCTTCAGTTTCGGGCCCCGAAAATGTGTAGGACAGAGATTTGCTGAACAGGAATTAAATCTTGCTGCTGTTAAGGTACGTATTTAATTTTTCCAAGTAAATCTTTCACATAAACATATTTTTTAAGCACTTGAAATCTTTTAGATCGTTTTCAATGATACGGAAACTGACCTTTCCACTAGCAAGAATAACCTAAACAAATGATTTACACAGTATTGTTATAACCAAATCGCACTTCAACACCTTCGCGAAGCATGCGCTGCAATCGATGACATGGTAATATATATATACCACATGATAAATAGGATTACTTCATGACGAACAACACTCTTGGAAACCCTACAATGGCAGGACTGTCACGATGATAGCAACCGGGGCACAAATAAAGAACGGATGACGTCATTAGAAAAAAACATGACATGATGTATGGGAAGTTACATACGGGCTATAAACGATTCTTCTAACACTTTAGACTTTATTTTCTAGGAGACAAGAAATTAGTTTAGACATCATTTGCAATGATTCTGTTTTGGAAACATATTTTATTCGTGTGAGTTGCCTCCCTTAGTTGTGCAAGGATAGGCTGATTATGGATTCGAATCCGAGATTTGTCCAGATCCATACCAGTGCTCGTTGGTTTCAATTAAGTAGTATACCTTGTACCCGCGTCCCTTCAGGCTTTCCTCCCACATTAAGCTGACACGTCGTGATATAACTGAAATACTGTTAAAAGCGGCGTTAAGCCCAACTCACGCACTCACTCCTCAGGCTTCCCTCCAGCATTAAGCTGACACGCCGTGATATAACTGAAATACTGTTAAAAGCGGCGTTAAGCCCAACTCACGCACTCACTCCTCAGGCTTCCCTCCAACATTAAGCTAGCAGGCCGCGATGTAACTGAAGTACTGTTCACTCGTTACAAGACTTCAAGTTTCACTCTTCTCTCTTCCAGGTGCTTCAGAACTTCAAGATCTCACTGCCGGAAGGTTTCGAGGAGCCAGAAATTATTTATGAAGTTTTTGGGACATTTTCGAAACCAATCCCTTTCATCTTCACACCCCGAGAACAGATCCAAAGTTAAATTATTATTCTAATATTCTGGATTCGATGTACGGCTAAGACGCCCATGTGTTGACCTGACTTCTTATAAAGACTATGGAAGAGGGTGGGATGTGTCCACGAGAAACACACTATATGTTATGCAAATGCAGTGACCGACATAAACCCATGTGAGCATCTGGTCATTGTGACTAGCATTAACCTACCTGATCCTGCGTTAACATACATACCCCTGTGTTCACCGAAATTTGGGATCTGAGGGGAAGCAACTACAAGTCCTAGGGCCGTGTCGTCAGTGCCACCGACATGGTATGATACTGCGTCTACCTACAGGCTGACTCAACCAAGATGGTATGCCTAAGCATCAACATGCCATTATACTGCGTCTACCTACAGGCCGACTCAACCAAGATGGTATGCCTAAGCATCAACATGACATTATACTGCGTGTACCTACAGGCCGACTTAACCAAGATGGTATGCCTAAGCATCAACATGACATTATACTGCGTGTACCTACAGGCCGACTCAACCAAGATGGTATGCCTAAGCATCAACATGACATTATACTGCGTCTACCTACAGGCCGACTCAACCAAGATGGTATGCCTAAGCATCAACAGGACATTATACTGTGTCTACCTACAGGCCGACTCAACAATGATGATTTGTCTAAGCATCAACATGACATTATACTGCGTCTGCCTACAGGCCGACTTAACTACGATGGTATGCCTAAGCATCAACATGACATTATACTGCGTCTACCTACAGGCCGACTCAACTATGATGGTTCTCATCTTCCCTAAGTCCAGTTTCCACCCTTGCCGAACTGGGCTGGAAATCCGGAGTTACACTCTGGCTAGACAAAGGAGTCTAGGCATAGTCCAATCACAATCGCGTAACGAAGAAGACATCCGGTTCGTAAACAACGTGGATTTCAACATGCAGATTTCGATCGACTGCAGGGTTTGCAAAACATGTGTACCGTCAACTGGGCGTCGACAGATATTTTGCAAATCCTTTCATGTTTTTAAGCAAGGTGCTCACGTGATGTGACGCACTTCGCCACGTAACATCCGTTTTATTACAATATAGATCTTGATCATCGATCAGATCATCTTGACAAGTTGCCGCCATTTTGCTTGAAGCAAATGCGAGTGATATGAGAGATGGAATCTGATTGGTCAATAGGAGGGACATAGAAGGCGTTCCTAACGAGCCTGGAAATTCCTGCCTACTTCAGCAAGGGCGGAATCTGGACTTTTATAGTCAGTTAACGCCCTTGACTGGGGAGGATGGGTAAGTTGGCTGACGTAAAGACTATACAAGTTGGAATATAGTATTTGTTTATTGTCAATTTGTTGTCAACGTAACAGACAAGATGCTATCAAGCCGGTGTTTGGTGCGAGTTTCCCTATGTTGTGTATTTCAAAACTAACTACACAACTAAACAAATAAATTTCATATTCTTATAGTTAGTACGGCATTTGTGAACAAACCTTCCACTATCCGTTCATAAGAGTATCATATTAAATATGTTTGAATGTATATTTCAGTTGACTGAAATCTTGGGTAGTTCTCAGTAACGTTTAAAGTTACAGCATTCTAGATACCACGCTGGCGTGTCCAAACTGATGAACCCACGTGACCTGTAATCTCAGTAGAAAACACTTTCATCTGCTGGTCAAATGGTATGTGTTAATACTGACATAAAACATGTTTTAGTAGTGTATGTCGCCAACAGGGCTTGTTAGTAGTGCTATCATAATGTATATTATATACAAAGCGAGCATGTATGGACTCGTACTACTTGCAATATGCTACTTACTGGATACGTGTTGCCACGCCACGTTCGGACATAATCATTGACCTTGTATTTTTGAAGGCACTAATAAATACAGTTATTGACGGTTTGTGTTATGTTGTTAATTCGATGCCATGTGCGGATTATTAATAAATGTTAGATTGATATGTGAGTGAGGAAGATTTATTGTCTTGGTCAAGATTCAACCGTGATGGTCACCATGTATGGTCAACACACATCGTATCCATTTAAGGTGTCCAACCTACAGCAGGATCGTTGCTAACAACCGATTTATCTACTTGGCCAACCGAATGTTCTAGCTGGTGAGAATGATGAACAATCGAGTCATTAGAGATAGTCTCAGCGTTAGTCCCCAGCATGGAACGGGTAGTCAGACTCTGTGTCATGACTGGGTGGTATGTCATCGTACCGCGAGGGTGCATGGTTTGTTTGTTGTTTAACGCCGCACTCAGCAATATTCCAGCTATATGACGGCGGTCTGTAATAATCGAGTCTGAACCATACACTCCAGTTATATCATAAGCAACGATCTACGGAATTTGGATTCGACGATGACATGCATCAACCTAGTTACGGCAAGCATGGGTTGCTGAAGACCTATCTAATCCGGATCTTCTCGGGTGAGATGATGTTTGGAGTTGATTCTTGTTTCCGCCTCGGGTCTGCCTGGTCCAGGGCGCCCTTATCCAGTTTGTATCATGACTGCGCCGTGAAACATCATTCAATCGCTCCCACGGTTCTGTTGTGGTTGGTTCATCGTTTTCACCCTTTTTCAGATCCATCAATCAAAAAAAGCAAGAATTGCTCCAACGTATGATCATCAATATTGAAGGAGAGCCGTGTAGCTCACCTTTTATTAACAAAGATTTTGAGACAAAATCAGAACGGTAGGACATGAGTTACTTTCAAAATACACAGAGAAAATATTATCTCTGTCTACATAGTAGGGTACATATTAGGGTAAAGCAGTTCTCCAGTTAAACTGTTATATTTAACACGATAACGTAAGAGTGAGTAAGTTGGATTTTACGCCGCTTTTAGCAATAGTCCAGCAATATCACGGCCGGGGGCACCAGAAATGGGCTTCACACATTGTATCCATGTGGGGAATCGAACCCGGGCCTTCAGCGTGACGAGCGAACGCTTTAACCATAAGACCAACCCCCGCCCCATGATAACATAAGGTATTTATATTGTACCTACTTACTTCATGCGAGGAAACAGGTCGGGAGATGGCATACAACCTAACTGTTTCACCTATTTCTGCATAATAGGTTCGCTATACAACCTCCGTATATGAAATGACATTAATGGGCCAAATTGTCATGTTCAATGTTTATACTTCATATACCGAACTCTCGTTATCATCCTTTTTTGTGAGGAGGCAATATTAATTTTCCATTTAAATTTTAAGTACGTAAAGATACAGAACAAACACATTAGAATAAAAAAAACCCAATATATGGAGACTAATGAAAAGTTTATAACAGCGTGAAATTTGTATGTTGAATAAAAACACAATTTCTTTAATATTTTACTTCGGCACCCCAAATGGATTTAGCATATTTGTATAGCACAGACGTTGTGCACCAGAAGAAAACAACACCAATAGCACACAATAGCAGTGACAGAACTTTTTTTGTCAACATGTAACTTGTGAACTGCTTCCTTCACTGAAAGACCCATTTTGCTCAGAATTAAGCATTTCAATCAAGGTTTCAGCATGGAAGGCCTGGTCAACTCTTTCCAATTTAGAGGAATTAAGAGGAATTTACGAGGTGAGGTTCGGTGAGGTGAAATGGGGTTTAACGTCGCGTCCAAGATTATTGCACTGACATAGCGACGTGCATGCACGTGCGCGCGTGTGTGTGTGTGTGTGTGTGTGGCTGCTTGTACTAGTCCGGACTGATGCCGATTTATTGTGCTAGCCCACTGAGATATCATGCCGCAGTTTAACATAAATACTTGACTCGCACACAGTATACTGACTTCGAGCCGACCAGTCCTTGTTTTAGCTCCTTAATGCCGAGCGACGGGGTAACAAAAAGTACCATCTTTGGTATGACGCGGCCGGGAATAGAACCCCGGACCTTCCGCTCTCAGGGCAGACGCTCCACCACTAAACTACGGAGGCGGTCAGGAATTCACGATATATGACAGGTCGCTTCTGGCAGTCAGGATTGTTGTAAGTTTATGTGTCGTTGTTGTCAGAGGAAGCAAATGATCGACACGCTCGTAAGATGCCGAGTGTTGAAGTGACTATAAGCGGAAGTGTGATTTAGAGTTACCTGCCTTGGTTGTTGTTGACAACCAGGACACGAGGGAGATTCCAGGCCTCTTACGACCTTACGACTTCTATCATGGTAATTTACAAGTGCGATTAGGATAGTTACCTGAGTTAGTGAGTGAGTGAGTGAGTGAGTATGGTTTCACGACGCTTTTAGCAGTATCCTAGCAATATCACGGAGGGGGGGGGGGGGGGGGGGGGACACCAGAAATGGGCTTCACACATTGCACCCATGTGGGGAATCGAATCCGGGTCTTTGGCGAGACGAGCGAACACCCAATTCTCGCCAGCTTCACAACCAACAGTGACCATAATTTGGATAATCGTGACAGTGAGTGAGTGAGTGAGTTGGGTTTAACGCCGCTTTTAACAATATTCCAGTTATACCGCGGCGTGTCAGCTTCATGTGGGAGGAAAGCCCGAAGTGATGCAGGTCTCAGACGTTTACCACTTCGGTGAAACCCACGAGCACGGGTAATCGTGACAGTACTGACACATGTGGTAGGGCCGTTTACCAGTTCCTTTTGCTGCTTATTTGACCAATAGTTTTGTCATTTTTATTGTAAACCTAAACGTTCTGGATTCGGTTTTACTCCGCTCTTGGCAGTACTCCAGCAATATCCCCTGCATCTGAAAAGGGCTCACACTTTGAACCCAAGAGGGGAATCGAACCCGGGTCGTTGGCGAGATGAGCGAACACATTTAGGCTACCCCATAGCCCTATATACATGTATAGCCACCTGACAACAAAGGTGTTAATCGCTGTGACGAAGTTTGGAGTGTAAACAACCAAGGGAGGTCACCCTTCCTTACGAGCTGCCGTGGGAGCATCACCATAGGTCAACAGATCACATGACATTTTATGAGTCCTTCTTTTTTCTGTCACTAACAATCATCAGAAATAAACTGGCACCAAGACACTATTACATTACACGAGACAGATAATTCTCTGGCCTGCACGTTTTGAATTTACCCTCCAAAGTTATCTAAACAGTTACTGCAACATTGGGTTGTGAAGGGTATTTTTAGTACAGTCTAAAGATTGATGAATATTTAAAATCAAACGACTCGTGAAGATTCGGGGTAGAATAGGTCTTCAGCAACCCATGCTTGCCGTAAATAGCGACTATACTTGTCGCAAGAGGCGACTAAAGGGATCGTGTGGTCAGGCTCGCTAACTTGGTTGATGCAAGTAATCGTATCCCAATTACGTGGATCGATGCTCATGATGTCAATCACTGGATTGTATGGTTCAGACTCGATTATTTACAGACCGCCGTCATATAGCTGGAATATTGCTGAGTGCGGCGTTAAACAAACAAACAAAATTATAATCAAACAGTGCCTGTACTCTGTATGTATTCGGGGGCACGGGTGGCCCAGTCGTCTAAGGCGCCGCGATTCGCTGTGCAGAGTTGCGTCCCTTGGGCACGCCAGAAACCTATGATTGTTGGTTCGAATCCCGGTTCGCCCCGATTATGTTTCTAGGTTTGTCAGCACCATACCCGTGCTCGTGGGTTTCACCGAAGTGGTAAATGTCCGAGACCTGCATCACTTCGGGCTTTCCTCCCACATTAAGCTGACACGCCGTGATATAACTGAAATACTGTTAAAAGCGGCGTTAAACCCAACTCACTCACTCACTCACTCTGTATGTATTCACCAGCACAGCTTCGCTTTGAATGTGACGTCATAAACGCAAACTCTCTTATCACTTACTCGCTGATGATTGAAATTTGACTGGACAGCTATTTTTATCGTCATGTAATTTTTATCGGGTCAAAACGAATATTATGCAGCGAATGCGATGGTTGTATTTATCACAATAGAGCGGGGATATACTAATTGGATTATCGTTGATGGTGTGATAAGTTGCATCAATGTTCAGTTAAATGAATATATATGATCACAGTTACATGTATAATTACTTTTTCATTGGATCATAGATTTAACAGAAGACGGCGAACAATTATGAAGATGACAGTTGACAAATCACGAAAAGACGACGCTGCGTTTGAGATGTAAATTTATTTAAATAATCCGCAGATTTCACCTGACAACCTTTAACATTTCTTTAAAATAAACACGTCATATTGATCAAGCATGAAACCTGTTCCAAACATTCCTGTTACTATTTCTGATATTTACATAAAAGGAACAAACTAACAAAATTCGATGACGAAAATCGATTGCAATGGCAATCGAGCAGTAATATTTTTACTACTATTTTCCGCTAAAAGCGCAAGTTCCGCTAAAAGCGCATGTGACAGCTGTAATAAAATGGTGATTAAAATATACATTCGTAGCCAAAAACGTTCTAATGGATGGTAGCAATGTCGACCAGGGTGCTTTAAGATTTCCATTCACAGGACAATGTACACGTTCCAAGGTCATTTACTGGAGACGCCTACATAACAAGATGCTTATACAAAGGATGCAGTACTCATATAACTAGGGATACATTCCTAGTGTCAAGCAGTGCATGAGTGTTGAGTTCGGTTCAACGCCATTTTGAACAATCGTTCGGGAATAACACGATGCGTCAGCGTAATGTGAGAGGAAGGCAATAAGTCGTAGATGTTTGTGGCCTTGGAAAAACCCATGAGCACGATATATGGGACAAAAGGAAGGGTCACTATCAGGCCGAATTCGAAACCAACTATCGGCGGATCTTGGTACTTCAAAGGGACGAAACTCTGTGAACTCTAGCGAAGTGAAATAATAGTCGTCATTCGTTGCGTAATAAGTGCTCGTGTCTCGTGTCTTACCCACACATGTGATTATTCGCGTTGTGCAACACTGTTTTTCCGTTTGGGTATTCTTTGATCTCCCAAACGGTTTCCGATGAATCATTTTCTAGTCTATCTCGGTTTGAAATTGAACCGGATAGGTTTGGCCGGTTGAATAAAAGTGTGGTACTCAATGTCCGTCCCCGCATCTTCGTCTTCAACGATGACTTCGAAGTTTTGGATGATCTGAAACACAGAGAAACACTGAATGTTATTTAACAACGTAGCAGGCAATACTGATACGCGTCGTTAGAGGCCAAACAATAATACAGACAGATGTGGGATGTCAGATGGAGAGGGTGTTACAGACAGATGGAGAGGGTGTTACAGATAGATGGATTGGGTGTTACAGACGGATGGGTGTTACAGACAGATGGAGTGGGTATGACAGACAGATGGAGTGGGTGTTACAGACAGATGGAAAGGGTGTTACAGACAGATAGAGTGGGTGTTACAGACATATGGAGAGAGTGTTACAGACAGATGGGTGTTACAGGCAGATGGAGTGGGTGTTACAGACAGAAGGGTGTTTCAGACATAATGAGTGGGTGTTACAGACAGATGGAGTGGGTGTTTGAGACATAATGAGTGGGTTTTACAGACAGATAGGTGTTACAGGCAGAAGGAGTGGGTGTTACAGGCAGGTGGATTTGGTGTATTGCAGAAGGAGTGGGTGTTTGAGGCATAATGAGTGGATGTTACAGACAGATGGAGTGGGTGTTTCAAACATAATGAGTGGGTGTTACAGACAGATGGGTGTTACAGACAGATGGAGTGGGTGTAACGTAGATGGAGTGGGTGTTTCAGACATAATGAGTGGGTGTTACAGACAGATGAAGTGGGTGTTACAGGCAGATGGAGGGGTGTTACAGTCAGATGGAGTGGGTGTTACAGGCAATGGAGTAGGTGTTACAGGTATGGAGTAGGTCTTACAGGCAGCTCGAGTGGTGTTACAGACAGGTGGATATCTGTTAAATACATGTTGTGGGTGTTACAGACAGATATGTGTTACATACATGAAGATGCTAATACAGACAGATGGAGTTGGGAGTTACAGGCAGCTCGAGTGGTGTTACAGACAGGTGGATGTCTGTTAAATACATGTAGTGGATGGATGTTACAGGCATGGAGTGGGTGTTACAGACAGATGGAGTGGATGTAACAGACAGAATGAGCAGGTGTTACAGACAGATGGATGGGTGTAACAGGTATGCGGTGGATGTAAGAGACAGATGGAGCAGGTGTTACAGACAGATGGATGGATGTTACAGACATATGGATTGGTGTTAGAGACACATGGATGGGTGTTACAGGCATGGAGTGGATGTTACAGACAGATGGAGTGGATGTTACAGACAGATGGATGGATGTTATAGGCATGGAGTGGGTGTTACACGCAGATCGAGTTGATGTTACAGACAGATGGAGTTGATGTTACAGACAGATGGATGGATGTTACAGGCATGGAGTGGGTGTTACACGCAGATGGAGTGGATGTTACAGACAGATGAGAGGATGTGACAGAAATGGAGTGGTGTTATAGACAGATGGAGTGGATGTAACAGACAGAATGAGCAGGTGTTACAGACAGATGGATGGGTGTAACAGGTATGGAGTGGGTGTTACACGCAGATGGAGTGGATGTTACAGACAGATGAGAGGATGTGACAGAAATGAGTGGTGTTACAGACAGATAGATGGGTGTTACAGACATATGTATGGATGTTACAGGCATAGAGTGGGTGTAACAGACATGGAGTGGATGTTACAAACAGATGAATGGATGTTACAGGAGGCATGGAGTTGGTGTTACAGACAGATAGATGGGTGTTTCAGACATATGGACTGGTGTTAGAGACACACGGATGGGTGTTACATGCAAGGAGTGGATGTTATAGACAGATGGATGGGTGTTATAGGCATGGAGCAGGTGTTACAGACAGATGGATGGATGTTACAGACAGATGGATTGGTGTTAGAGACACATGGGTGGGTGTTACAGGCATGGAATGGATGTTACAGACAGATGGAGTTGGTGTTACAGACAGATGGATGGATTTTACAGGCATGGAGTGGGTGTTACAGACAGATGGAGTTGATGTTACAGACAGATGGATGGATGTTACAGACACATAGAGTGGGTGTTACAAACAGATGGATGGATGTTACAGGCATGGAGTTGGTGTTACAGACAGATGGAGCAGGTGTTACAGACAGATGGGTGGATGTTACAGACAGATAGAGTGGATGTTACAGACAGATAGAGTGGGTGTAACAAAGAGATGGATGGATGTTACAGGCATGGAGTTGGTGTTACAGACAGGTGGATATCTGATAAATACATGTAGTGGGTGTTACAGACAGATATGTGTTACATACAAGAAGATGCTGTTACAGACAGATGGAGTTGGTGTTACGGGCAGCTCGAGTGGTGTTACAGGCATGGAGTAGGTCTTACAGGCAGATGGAGTGGGTCTTACAGACAGATGGTGGTGCTGTTTCAGGCATGGCGTTGGTGTTACAGACAGATAGATGGGTGTAACATATATATGGGTTGGTGTTAGAGACACATGGATGGGTGTTAAATACGTGGAGTGGGTCTTACAGACAGATGGTGGTGCTGTTTCAGGCATGGCGTTTGTGTTACAGACAGATAGATGGGTGTAACAGACATATAGGTTGGTGTTAGAGACACATGGATGGGTGTTAAATACATGGAGTGGGTGTTACAGACAATTAGATAGTTGTTAAATACATGGAGTTGGTGTTACAGGCATGGAGTGGGTGTTACAGACATGGAGTGGGTGTTACAAACAGATGAATGGATGTTACATGAGGCATGGAGTGGGTGTTACAGACATATGGATGGATGTTACAGATAGATAGATGGGTGTTACAAACAGATGAATGGATGTTACAGGAGGCATGGAGTTGGTGTTACAGACAGATGGATGGGTGTTACAGACATACATGTATGGATGTTACAGGCATGGAGTAGGTGTTACAGACATGGAGTGGGTGTTACAAACAGATGAATGGATGTTACAGGAGGCATGGATTTGGTGTTACAGACAGATAGATGGGTGTTACAGACATATGGATAGATGTTACAGGCATAGAGTGGGTGTTACAGACATGGAGTGGGTGTTACAAACAGATGAATGGATGTTACAGGAGGCATGGAGTTGGTGTTACAGACAGATAGATGGGTGTTACAGACATATGGATGGATGTTACAGGCATAGAGTGGGTGTTACAGACATGGAGTGGGTGTTACAAACAGATGAATGGATGTTACAGGAGGCATGGAGTTGGTGTTACAGACAGATAGATGGGTGTTTCAGACATTTGGATTGGTGTTAGAGACACATGGATGGATGGTACATGCATGGGGTGGATGTTATAGACAGATGGAGTGGATGTTACATACAGATAGATGGGTGTTACAGACATATGGATTGGTGTTAGAGACACATGGATGGATGTTACATGCAAGGAGTGGATGTTATAGACAGATGGATGGGTGTTACAGGCATGGAGTGGATGTTACAGACAGATGGAGTTGATGTTACAGACAGATGGATGATGTTACAGGCATGGAGTGGGTGTTACACGCAGATGGAGTTGGTGTTACAGACAGATGGAGTGGATGTTACAGAAATGGAGTGGTGTTACAGACAGATGGAGTGGATGTAACAGACAGAATGAGCAGGTGTTACAGACAGATGGATGGGTGCAACAGATATGGAGTGGATGTAACAGACAGATGGAGCAGGTGTTACAGACAGATGGATTGGTGTTAGAGACACATGGGTGGGTGTTACAGGCATGGAGTGGATGTTACAGATAGATGGATGGATGTTACAGGCATGGAGTGGGTGTTACAAGCATAGAGTTGGTGTTACAGACAGATAGATGGGTGTTACAGACATATAGATTGGTGTTAAGAGACACATGGAATGGGTGTTACACGCAGATGGAGTTGATGTTACAGACAGATGGATGGATGTTACAGGCATGGAGTGGGTGTTACAGACAGAATGAGTGGATGTAACAGACAGAATGAGCAGGTGTTACAGACAGATGGATGGGTGTAACAGGTATGGAGTGGATGTAACAGACAGATGGAGTTGATGTAACAGACAGATGGATGGATGTTACAGGCATGGAGTGGATGTTACAGACAGATGGAGTTGATGTTACAGACAGATGGATGATGTTACAGGCATGGAGTGGGTGTTACACGCAGATGGAGTTGGTGTTACAGACAGATGGAGTGGATGTTACAGAAATGGAGTGGTGTTACAGACAGATGGAGTGGATGTAACAGACAGAATGAGCAGGTGTTACAGACAGATGGATGGGTGCAACAGATATGGAGTGGATGTAACAGACAGATGGAGCAGGTGTTACAGACAGATGGATGGATGTTACAGACAGATAGAGTGGGTGTTACAAACAGATGGAGTGGATGTTAAAAACAGATGGATGGGTGTTACAGACAGATGGAATGGATGTTACAGACAGATAGAGTGGGTGTTACAAACAGATGGATGGATGTTACAGGCATGGTGTTGGTGTTACAGACAGGTGGATATCTGTTAAATACATTTAGTTGGTGTTACAGACAGATATGTGTTACATACATGAAGATGCTGTTACAGACATATAGAGTGGGTGTTACTGACTGATATGTGGTGTTACAGACAGATGGAGCAGGTGTTACAGGCAGATGATAATATGGCCGTTTCCATAGCGTACCCCATATCAACCATCGACCCCCAAATCAGCCCTTCTGTCCCTCGGCCCTCGGGTTGACCCGGGGACTCGGGTTGATAAAGGGCATGATATGAAAACTGCCATAAAATAAACTCTCAGTACAAAATTTCCATGTACAATAGTTAATCATCATAAACTTTATGTAACATATTCCAACATACAACTGTAAAGCATTATTAACTTGGGGGCACGGGTGGCCCAGTCGTCTAAGGCGCCGCGATTCGCTGTGCAGACTTGCGTCCCTTGGGCACGCCAGAAACCTATGATTGTGGGTTCGAATCCCGGTTCGCCCCGATTATGTTTCTAGGTTGGTCAGCACCATACCGTGGGTTTCACCGAAGTGGTAAACGTCTGAGACCTACATCACTTCGGGCTTTCCTCCCACATTAAGCTGACATGCCGTGATATAACTGGAATACTGTTAAAAGCGGCTCACTCACTTACTCATTATTAACTATATGTACCATATTTCCATATACAATAAAGTTGCATCGTGTATTAATTTTCCGAAGAGGTTCTACTGACTTATATTGACATATCGTGTAGCCAAGGCAACCGTTATTTGACCATCCAGTCAATTGCTTCATCTGCGGGATCACGGTATATATGATATTAGATATGAAATTGTGACCATCTGGAGAAACATACATGGTTCTTCCACCAAAGATGCACCAGATATCGGTCGTATCGCAAACATTTATCAAAATGAGATCTGTCAATTGTAAGTATTTCCAATATGTCGAGGGACATATTATCACATATCGACCGTCTCGTAGACATGTATTAAAATGAGATCTTTGAAATATGATATATTTCCAAAATTTTGTGGTATATCAACCAAATAATGGTGATGGTAACTTTTTTTCCATGTGTATATGCGCTTCTGCCAACCAACAGAATTTGTGGCCATTACCCAAAATGCCAACATCACACAACACAACCTAAAAGCCAAATAGGGATCGTCATTAAATATTCCAGTTTGAAACGGAACCTTTCCTTCTTACGCATGTTGGTCAGTTACCCCCAGAGCGACGCCCACAACCTGATACAGTGACCTATATATTTATATACACAAAAAACAGTGACGTGAATAAATGAATCAATTGCAGTCATTCACAAATCCTCCCTACCTTCACCACTCCCAGCCAAATCTCCTGCAAAGCGAATCTCCGGCCCAGGCAATTGCGTACACCGAAGCCAAATGGCAAGTTGGCAAATTTAGGAATATTACTAATGTATTTCCGGTGTTCATCCCTCCTCCACCGGTCTGGATCATAGCGTGCTGGGTCCTGGAAATACTCCTCATCCATCATCAATCTCCGGTTGTTGCATAACACACAGGTCTGAGAGAAAACAGGACGGTTATATACATTCCCAGAGGCATAAATAGTATTTGAAAATGACAGGAGTGGTTATACTGTGATCCCAAATTTGTCAGAGAGACATGAGACGGTCAGTGGAACATAACTGACAGGAAATGGGGATTATCTGCCTTAACTGGATCTATTAGCGTCCCACGTCATGGGATAAATGACCGTACTTTAATGATAACTTAAGGGAAAGGTCAGTGATCTATGATCTGTGAATGAAAATCATTTCGTGTAACGATTATTGACATGAACGTTTATATAATTATGACGTAATACGTGTGTAGGCGTCATCTCACCACTCGTGTTATATTCACGCGTAAATGATGACGATACACCCTGGTAGCTGATGACGTAATATGCATGTGCCACTGATGACGCTAGATGTATAAGACTTTACATACATATGTACATTATAGATAGGCGCTTGTGACGTTATATACGTATACTGAATGAAATGAAAATGGAACACTTAGTTTTAGACACAGTTTGGATGGAGAATTCGAAAATAGACGACGTTACATACTCCAAAACTTCAAAAATAAATATGAATACAATTATTTACCCCTTTCGGCACGTGGAATCCTGCAATGACGGAATCACGGGGCATGATCCTTGGCGAACCGAGCATGACAGGATACAGCTTTCTGTGGGTGAGAGGGTCGGGGAGTTGAATAAAGTCAGTCCTAAACATTCTATTTACAGTGCCCATCTTACCGAGACAAGGTAGTTAACTGACTACAAAAGTCCAGTTTCCATCCTTGCCGAACTAGTCTGGAATTCCGGAGTTTCATTTTGGCTAGACTAACGAGTCTATGACTATTCCAATCAATATCGCGAATGAACCTAACACCCGGTTCGTAAACAACATTGATTTCAACGTACAGATTTCTGTCGACTGAAGTTTTCTCAAGACATTAAAAAATCGCACTTTCATAAATCGCTATTAGTGATAGCTAATGATCTAATTCGGGAAATTAATTATTCATTTTGTGATATATAATATTGGTGAATGTTAGATGTCAATAAATCGAATTTGTGATGTCATTTAGTCATCATTTCACATTAACTGTTACCGCATTGATGATTGGGTGGGTGTCGGGTTTATTGCATTGGCCGATGTTATGTTAACTATGCAGCTTAGTAAATGGCAAAATGACGAGCAGCTTATTAACCGCGGCGACTAAGCTTGTCGTAAGAGGCGACTAACGGTATCGGGTGGTCAGGCTCGCTGACTTTGTTGACACATGTCATCGTATCCCAACTGCGTGGGTCGATGCTCAAGATGTCAATCCCTGGATTGTCTGTTCCAGACTCGATTATTTACTGACCGCCGTCATAGCCAAACGCGAGACGTAAAAGTCAATGAGCGAAACTGCATTCTGGTTTGTACAATCGCACGTAAGTTCTACACTTTTGAGGGGTCCCTCTGATCACCCAGAGTACCAAATTTCTTGAACCTGCAACATTTCGGTTCCAAATTAAGCTCACGCCACATGACATAACTGAAATTATTTTCAAAGTGGCCGTTAACTCAAGTCACTCACATTCGTGAAATAGTTCAATCAAACATACCGAAACGATTCTGTCTGGCAGGCCCTGTAATAGGGCATTGTTTCCATCTGCCCTGCCTCGAGCGGACGTCCAGACTGCGCATGTCCAACGACCTCTACGACCTCTTCATATAAGCGTCTCTGGACGTCTCTGTTGCAGCCCAGATGGAAGAGGAAACATTCCATGTTCTTGGCAGTCTGTAACCGAGGACACGGTTATAAAAAGAAGAGAATAGCATCATTGTCTTGTAGCTTTGCGGTGCGGTCGCCCTATCCAATCCTCCCCGCCCTATCAATGACGTCATTCAAACACCGAGTCTGTCACTGCCACCAATATATCTTGTAGCAGTGCGGTGATGTCTCCCTATCCCCTCCCTCTCCTAGCAATGGCATCATACAACACAACGTGCCTGTCCCATCTTCCCGTGGCAATAAAAGACTATGAAAGTCAGGTTTTCAACCCTTTCCGAACTAGGCAGGAATTTTGTGGCTCGATCGTAGCGCCATCAGTGGTCATTGCGAGTTATGTCCCTTCTATGTTCCTTCTCATGAGAGTCACCTCTCATATCATTTGCCTTGCTTCAAATAAAATGGCGCGTCTAGTCAGACGATCTGATCAAATTAATCGAAGAAACCTTTCGCCTTCCCTGCCTCACATACACCCAGCACATGTGGATTATAACACAACACTTGAGCACGCTGAATAAAAACATGAAAAGACGAGGGAAAATATATGTCGGCGCCCAGTTGACGGTATACATGAACATATTTAATATCATTAGTCCAACCAAATTATATCTCGAAGCCTATAATTCCAGCCTAGTACGACAAAGGTACATGGGAACAGGACTTTTAGTCAGTTAACTTCCTTGCCTTGGGCAGATGAGTCTGTCCCTGCCACTAGTATGTCTTGTAGCAGTGAGGTGATGTCCCCCTACCTCCAACCCCGTCCCGCCCTCCCTCCCCTAGTAATGACATCACACTACACACCGAGTCTGTCCCTGCCACTAGTATGTCTTGTAGCAGAGCGGTGATGTCTCCCTACCTCCAACCCCGCCCCGCCCTACCTCCCCTAGTAATGACATCACACTACACACCGAGTCTGTCCCTGCCACTAGTATGTCTTGTAGCAGAGCGGTGATGTCTCCCATGGATATCTTCGGGTTAGACAGAAGAGTGAGTATTAGATTCGGAGCCTCCGGGTCAAATGTTCCTTCCTTTTTCTGTGCCTCCATCGTTTTCAGAGCAAGTTTCACTTCCTTCCGGCCGTAACTGAAAATTCAAACCACTTGTAGAATAAACTGAACCATATTTTAGACTTCGTGAGTGACAACTAATCACTGCCCGTATCGACTCCGGACGATACAGTTTCCGGATCACAGATTGTCCACTTCATCGAACTGTGCCGCCGTCATAAGAAACAAATGTATGGATGTCAACTTCTTCATTAACACTGGAGGGCACGGCTGGCCCAGTCGTCTAAGGCGCCGCGATTCACTGTGCAGAGTTGCGTCTTTCGGTCACGCCAGAAACCTATGATTGTGGGTTCGAATCTCGGTACGCCCCGATTATGTTTCTAGGTTTGTCAGCACCATACCCGTGCTCGTGGGTTTCACCGAAGTGGTAAACGTCTGAGACCTGCATCACCACGGGCTTTCCTACCACATTAAGCTGACACGCCGTGATTTAACTGGACTGATGTTAAAAGCGGCGTTAAACCCAACTCACTCACTCACTCATTTACACTGAGACCGCCTCCGTGCCCCGAGAAGGGAAGGTTGGTGGATCATTCCTGGCAGTATCACACCAAAAAACGTCAAAAGATTGTTGTTGATCTGCCTAGCGCTCGGCGTTAAAAGGAAAATATCAGGACAGGTCGGCTCGGAGTCAGTAACCTGTGTCTGAGTGGGGAATCCATGTTAAACTGTGTCATGGAATCTCAGTGGGCCGGCACTATAAAACCGGCATGAGCCTGGACTAGTACAAGCAGCCTCTCAGACACAGCTACGGACACACATATACATAAGTGCAACAATCTTTAACATGACATTAAACCCCATTTCACCTCGCCCCCTCATTTATACTGCTGCGACGTCTCGGTGCGGACACTCGTACATTTAGCAAGCATGTATAAAGAAGTGCTGTCGAAATATGCCTTCACTAACAGTAACTCTCGCTGAGGCTAAACAAAGGCCACAACAACTGAACTCCTAGGAAGTTTCGTCAAAGATGATAGTTGGGTTTCCGAGCCTTTGAACAGTATTTCCGTATCACAGTAGTTAGCTTGGTGTGGGGGAAAGTGATGCCGGTCTTGGACGTTCACCACTTTAAGCTTGAGGTTAGCACGAGAGTAGTGCTGTCTGACCAAGAATCATAACTCGGGTAACTGTGGGATTCAAACTCGCGATCATAGAAATCTGGCACGCCTAATACAAAAGGCGCAACTCACCACAGCACGTGTAACTGCGATGCCTTAGCGGTTTTTTTTATCTAGAAATGCAAACTTTTTTTCCTCTGTGCAGATATGCCGAATTCACTTTCTGATAGAAATCAACCATGGTCAGCATGATAATTAAATTCACGAGTCGCTTTAGTATGGAATCTCTTTTTGCCCTTAGACATTTACATTATTTAAACATTATACTTAAAGTTTTATTTCATTGTTTCTACATAATAAGTTTTGTGATCTTTTACTTTTTGATTTGGTTTGTAGGGCTTAACGTTGCGTTCAAGATTATTGCATTTATATAGAGACGTATATTTAAACGTCTTTAAGTATGACGCGGTCAGGAATCGAACCCCTGGCCTTCCGCTCTCCGGGCAGACGCTCTATCCACTTGACCACGTTTTGGATTAGGTTTTGGTTTGGTTTGTTGTTTAACGCCGCACTCAGCAATATTCCAGCTATATGACGGCGGTCTGTAAATAATCGAGTCTGGACCAGACAATCCAGTGATTAATATCATGAGCATCAATTCATGCAATTTGGATTGATGACATGCATCAACCAAGTCAGCGAGCCTGACCACCCGATCCCGTTAGTCGCCTTTTACGACAAGCATAGTCACCTTTTACGGCAAGCATGGGTTCTACCCCGGAATCTTCACGGGGTTTTGATTAGGAATGATATACGGACTGTGGGTAGCTATTCCTGTATTCCGTACTGTCGTGTATTTATTCTACGAAACCTCGGGACCAAACAACGGGAGGACATTTACCGTTACAAATCAGCTGGACCACCATGGTAACAGTACACGCTCAATAATCTGTGAGGGGATAGGATGAAACGCAATATTGACAACAAACCTGTAGCCAACATTGGCGGCATGCTCGAAATCTCTGTAATACTTAGTAGGGAATATCTTGTAGAACGGAGGATTACTGCCATCCTTGCCCAAACAGGAAAAGAACTTTTTCACTTGTTGAAGGTATTCGTCATTTTCCGGCGACACGGTGCTTAAGTCATCGGACAGGAAACCTAATCGTTTGTTGAAGGCAACCACGGCAATACCTGAAAGATCCAGAAAGAATGGTTGACACCAGGAGCAACGGTCCTTGACTTTGGGATGTGATGGCACACAATAAGGACAATGCGGACATCCAATCATTTGAGTCGGGAGGGCCGGTGGAGAAGCCCAGTGTATAAAGTGTTCGCTCGTCATGCTGAAGACCCGTGGTCGATTCCCCACATGGGTACAAAGTGTGAAACCCCTTTCTGGTGTCCCCCGCCGTGAATTGCTGCAATATTGCTAAAAGCGGCGTAAAACAATACTCACTCACTTATTCGAATCCGCTCTTAGGATCCGTCTGAATACCAGCTCTAGTGACCTACTCACCCCATCCCCAACGGCAACTACACTTGTAAACCCTAATTTACAATGTTGTTTGGAACATATTTGACGTAGGTAAAACGGTTTATTCATTTACACATCAAGTGAGTGAAATTCGGTTCAACTTCCAAGCTTATATTTGCCACACTGAATGCGTTAGTAACAATCTGGGAAGGTTAACCGATTCCGGCCGTCCACAATCTTCCCAAGGCGTCCACCAGCTTCATTATCAAAGTTTTGTTTCCATCCTTGTCACAGCATGCCCACTTTCATGTGCTAAATATGATTGGACCACCACACATTACGATAGTCCAATCAGAGATCGTTTCACAAAATCAACATACAAGACTGGTACATATTCCATTCGTGACCCAACTCGTGTTATTCCGGGACAAGCCGAATAGCGACTCGTGCCCCTCTCATGAAATTTTTGCGACCGGGTTCCGTATTAGCGCAGACGGGCATACCTAAAACAATTGTCAACTCGTTGCGCATTTGTTCACATTTATTTCCCCATATATCATATATATTTCAGATGCAATTTAAAGCACATCGAGACATGTGGAATTATACAGTATGATTGAACACATTTAACTGTGTCTTGGGTATATTTTTAGATGCAAGACATATGTAAAATAAAAAAATATTTCTGAGGGATTCTTTCACGAAGAACTTGAAATCATACGCGCATTCTGATTGGTTTGTCGTATTTTCGCACATAACATTCATCGATAGGGGGACGAGTCTTCTTGCAGGCTACGGAAAGGGGCGAGTGGTGACGAATGGTACATATTCGTATGAAAGTGATTTACCGCTGCTTGTCTTTGTTGACACGAATATGTCTTTTTCATCTTTTAACAACGCCCCACACCCCACCACCAACGATTGCCTATGTTATTTATTTTAGGGATGATATCGAGAACGTTTTCGTTATCTGATCGACATGGTAGTCGCCATTTTGTGAAGGTATATGAGATAAAAACAGCGATCTGATTGGATATAGCGTTTTCATTACAAGGGGCAAATCTCGTGATCTACGCGACGTTGCGCTAGGGTCGAGCCAAGACTAGTGGCCTTGTGGTGGTAAGGGTAGAACGTAGGCTTTGATATAGGCTAGTGGACACGTTTGCCTCGGGAAGATGGCCGTCAACATGTACATTAGAATGTTCTCGGTATTCTCTAATTCAAATAAAAGGCCACTAATTCTAATTCTGCGTCAGGTGATAAAATCGTTGGTATATTTTCAAAGTCATTTTCATATCTATACATGTACATTCTTTCAAGTGAATATAATACCCTGTTTCCAAATGAGTCAATGTATTTCTAATATCTATGTATATTCTTAGGTGAAGTTAAGAGGTCAAGAAAGTCGGGTGATGTTGCCAGGCACGGAGAAGGTGAAATAGGGGTTATTAGCTGATTTGTTTCCGTATCATATTTGTATTTGATAGTGAGTGAGTGAGTGAGTGAGTGAGTGAGTTGGGTTTAACGCCGCTTTTAACAGTATTCCAGTTATATCACGGCGTGTCAGCTTAATGTGGAAGGAAAGCCCGAAGTGATGCAGTTCTCCGACGTTTACCCTTTTCGGTGAAACCCACGAGCACGGGTATGGTGCTGACAAACCTAGAAACATAATCGGGGCGAACCGGGATTCGAACCCACAATCATAGGTTTCTGGCGTGCCAAAGGGTCGCAATTCTGCACAGCGAATCGCGGCGCCTTAGACGACTGGGCCACCCGTGCCCCCTTTGTATTTAATACGATTAGGAGAGTATATATAATAATCTCTTTATCATATTATAATCGATGTTTAAGACGTTATTTCGCTGTATGAAGTAATTTTATAAACCGCGCATGGATATAGAGTTTGAGTGAACAGTCCCATCATATAGTGCCAAATGTTTTGCAGGGTTGTTTGTCTTCATTATCACCCACACTTTGGGAAACGTCCATCTAATCCTTTGGGAACACTAGTCAATAGTTAAATGAACAAGCAGACATTGAGTCGATCGATGGCGATTAAAAGTAGTTCCATAGTGATCTCATTTGCATATATATCGAGTCGTAATACCAAGTTTATCGGATTGGTTTATCGCATCCACGTGCACAACAATGAGCATAAATATGGTGATAGTTGTTTTGAGCACGATTCCAGCCATATCAGGGCAGGGTACCAAAGGTTATAACAAACCGAGGTTCTGGAGACAAAAAACTAGCACTGATTAAGTGAAAACGGATTCATTGACTGGGGTAATAATAATGTCGTGCTGTGAACATCATCATCATCATCATCATTGTTATTATGTACAGATTAAAATAAAAAAAATGCAGCAAAGAGGGTTTGGGTGATCCTGGCATAGTCAGGCACGTTAGGCTCATCATCAGCTCAGGGCCCTCGTCCCCTCCACACACAGCCCTGGCAGCGAATGGAACTTTTCCCAGGAAGCGCTGCCTAGTCAAACCCACCCAGAACTTTTCGGAGAATGTGAGATTCCCATACAGATTTCGAAAGCGAGGTCCGCATATTTGCCATGTTTTTCCTGAATCTTGTCAATCACATTAGTGTCAAAAGGGACAGTAAATTCAGTTATATAAATGATTTCATTGGATTTATCCAAAAAGGACAAGATCAGGTTTGCAGGTCTGGATGGGTCTGAAGCGGTATACGGGCCTATTCCAAAGAATTTTCTATTTATCATAATATGATGATGATGATGATTATGATTATTATCCGATTGATTCTATCAAATATCTAAATATTCAAAGATTGGCCAGTTGACATAACGGATAGGAATTTGCCATGCGTCCCTTTGGTTCTCCAGCTTCCACATTGAAGCAGCCGTAATATACTCATTTCACCTTTCAAGACGCTCCTATTACCGCGAAACACCTATATTTTATGAGGCTTCCCTTGCTCTCTTCGTACAGGTCGACAGTTGGTGTTCAGCAAAATAAATGCAATCTATTCCGGCGTTGTGTTCGCCAGACAAACCAGTGGTTGACTGCATGATGATCAATTCACGCCGTCGGGGCTTGATAACACCAGATCTCACATTATATTAAAGTTGGTTGGTTTGTTGTTTAACGCCGCACTCAGCAATATTCCACCTATATGCTGGCGGTCTGTAAAAAAATCGTTTCTGGACCAGACAATCCAGTGATTGATATCATGAGCATCGACCCACGCAATTGGAATATGATGACATGCATCAAACAATTCAGCGAGCCTGACCACCTGATCCCGTTAGTCGCCTTTTACGTCAAGCATAGTCGCCTTTTACGGCAAGCATGGGTTGCTGAAGACCACTTTATAAAGCCACCTATTCCTCATCAACTGACCGTGATGATCGGGTTATATTAGAGGCGGTCTCCGGCAACCCATGCTTGTCGTAAAATTTTGTTTGTTTGTTGTTTTACGCCGGACTCAGCAATATTCCAGCGGTCTGTAAAAATCGAATCTGGACCAGACAATCCAGTGATTCACGACAAGCATGGGTAGCTGAAGGCCAGTTCTAACCCGGATCAGTATCGAGGCGAAAATATAATTGGAACCAAAGAGCAGTGGATTCGGGCACTACATAGTTTCTCAACTCTCTTGTACGATTTGCAGGATTAGGCGCCTCAACATTTTAAAGGCTGTTTGGCTATATCTGTTGAGTCTCATAGCACGCGTGCGGTTGTAATAAGGAATCCGGGAATCGATTCAATCATCACCGGATCCTGGCACGGATGAGAGGCGCAATTATGCACGGCGAATCCCAGTTCTTTCGACTACTGGGATATCCGCACATTCCCATGTTATTTTTTGGAAATCTTAAATCTTCGTAATGATTTTAGTTAGATATCCGAATTCATATGGAGACAATCTTGACTATATCTCCTGAAATCAAGTTCTTACTCTCTGCTGCAAACTTGAAGAGTTCCTCCCTGTATTCCTCGGGGCTGTACGTGTGCGTTTTCATCCTGTAGATGAGGTCGTCGGCAACGGCGTTCTGGGGGGGCAGGTACTGGTGGGGGGAGGCTGGGCGCATCAACTGTCGCGACAGCGCTGTCCGAAGACGTCGCCAATCCATGCCGTTACTGTCGGCCATGAAACATACACGTCATTTATACTGTATTGTAAAAGATGGTGGTGTGAATGACTACTCACAAAAATCAGTATCTTTTGACCTCCCTAATATTGACCGACTTAGAAGTTCTACACACATTAATAATTGTTAAAAGTCGTCGCACAGGGCCCCGTTGCACAAAGAGTTCGGTGTGCTACGACAGTCGTATGTTAAAGTATTGGAGTTACCATAACCTCGGCGCTACAACCGTTTTGTTAAACTGACCCCTAAAACTTGCTAACAGTTCGGGGCGGGTTATTATCAGTGTATCCAGGTCGAGATTGTAAGGACGTAGAGCGTGTTTGTTATAAGCTCACCTGGTTTAGGTGAGTGAGTGAGTGAGTTGGGTTTAACGCCGCTTTTAACAGTATTCCAGTTATATCGCGGCGTGTCAGCTTAATGTGGGAGGAAAGCCCGAAGTGATGCAGGTCCCAGACGTTTATCACTTCGGTGAAACCCACGAGCACGGGTATGGTGCTGACAAACCTAGAAACATAATTTGGGCGAACGGGGATTCGAACCCACAATCATAGGTTTCTGGCGTGCCCAAGGGACGCAACTCTGCACAGCGAATCGCGGCGCCTTAGACGACTGGGCCACCCGTGCCCCCCACCTGGTTTAGGCCAAAGGAACTTACCTCATGTACTGCAAATACACAAACATGAATATTACCATAGTTAGGATTGATATTGCTTATGGATTACCGATAAGAGAAAGCCGGCGATATCACATCCAAGATCAACTTGTGGATCTGGTGGTCCCAGTAACAGCTAATAGTCATACATTCGACCAGGGGCACGGGTGGCCCAGTCGTCTAAGGCGCTGCAATTCGCTGTGCAGAGTTGCGTCCCTCTGGCACGCCAGAAACCTATGATCCCGGTTCACCCCGATTATGTTTCTAGGTTTGTCAGCACCATACCCATGCTCGTGGGTTTCACCGAAGTATTAACGTCGGAGACCTGCATCACTTCGGGCTTTCCTTCCACATTAAGCTGACACGCCGCGATATAACTGGAATACTGTTAAAAGCGGCGTTAAACCCAACTCACTCACTCATTCGACCACTTGTTTCTCTGTTCAAGATCCGACCACGTTGCCCGTAAAGCTAACGCTGCGATATTGCGGACTACGGTGTAAAACGGCATTCACTCATTCAAAACTTACACTACGCCCATCCCCTTTTCCTTTTCGTTTTTCTCACAGTAGTGGATGTAGACAGTCAGGTCGGGTCGACTGGGTAGTTGTCCCTCGTTCAGGTAGACGTCTTCAATCCCGACAGGGTCTGCAGTGACGACCGTCCAGCCGTTCAGCATCACACGGAACGTGCGGCCGTGTTGATCGTGCAGACTGTCGAACAGCTTGTGAGCTGTCTCCAGTTTATAGTCCGCTGTTAAACAAACGAAAAAAGTGTCGTATAAAAGGAAGTCATCGAGCCATATATAAAAGCTGGAAGACTTTAAATAACACGTGGCCTAGTAAAATTGGAATTCCCATTCTCCTCACGCCACTAGTGCTGTGACAGCCTGTTACGTAAAAGGGGGTGTCGGCCCGGCAGCGCCAAATTTGATATTTTGGAGTAAGTCCTCGTGGCGTTCCTGGGACCAGTTTTTAGTTTTTCTTGTTTTGTTTTTATTGTTGTTTTTTTACACTCACAAATATTCCAGAAATATGACGGCGGTGTATAAATAAGTGGGATACGAAATTGGGATACGATGACATGCATAAACCATGCATCCCGTTAGTCGCCTCTTACGACAAGCATAGTCGCCTTTACGGCAAGTATGGGTTGCTGATGACCTATTCTACACCGGATCTTTACGGGTCCCCGGGACCAGTATGGGTTCAGACACGGATCTGGCGCTCCCGGTACCAGGCAAATAAAACGAGTACTGCTATTCAACGTCATTGCTGTATTTAGGTATGTTGAGTTAAGGTTTTCATAAAGTTAAAATGTAGATGCTCTGTAAATAACGTGTTCAGAATGTAAACACAAACAAGACATGTTTAGATCTAAACATTTCAGGAATGTATGTCAATCTTAAGCACATTTGTGTTCTGTGTGTTCTATCTAAAAACGTTAAGGGTCTAAACACATGCAATAAAGTGCATATCAACTGGCAATAAGCCAAATGTGGATAATATGTACAATATAGACTGAATAGAAACTTTACCATAGTTGTAAATCGCTCAAGTTTAAAACCTAAAAAGTTAGATGCATGAAGTAAAATGCTCAACGAAATGAACATTTAAAATGACAGTCTCACAACATCCGATTTTGTCATGGCAGTTTCCCGATTTGATGTGGGATAGCTTTCAACGTAAAGGACAAAGGGCACACACATCGATAATATCCTAGTTAAATTATGCGTCACATTAACAGCTTGTATGGCCACCCCTTGATACAAGACACTAACTCTAAGGCGCACAAAAAAAAGTTTGTTGTCTGGTGACGCCATGTGGAATACGTCGCCATTCGTTTTGGAGGGTCTGGGTCACTTCTTGTCGGTTGGCTGGAGGAAGTGGTTGCTGTTGAGCACGACGTTCCATGACATCCCTCCCCATTTGTGACCAACTCGTGTTATTCCGGGACAAGCCGAATAGCGACTCGTGCCCCTTTCATGGCCATTTTTGCGACCGGGTTCCGTCTTAGCGCAAACGGGCATACCTAAAACAATTGTCAATTCCTTGCGAAATGGTTCACATATATTTCCCCATGTATTACATATATTTCAGATACAATTTAAAGCACCTCTGGACGTGCGGAATTATACAGTATGAATAAACACATTTAACTGTATCTTGGGTATATTTTTAGATGCAAGACATACGTAAAATCAAAAATTATTTCTGAGGGATTCTTTGACGAAGAACTTGAAATCATACGTGCAGTCTGATTGGTTTGTCGTATTTTCGCACATAACATTCATCGACAGGGGGACGAGTCTTCCTTCAGGTTACGGAAAGAGGCGATCGGTGACGAATGATCCCTCCCAAGTTGTTCCATGGGGGACATGACTCGGAAGTGTGCAGTCCACCGCAACACGTTGACGTTGTCACGCTTTTAGAGGATACCACGCGGCAGCTGTTGTAGAAATGGTAGGACAGTCGGATAAAGAATGTCATCCATGTAACGCTGAGCTGTGAAGTGTCCGTTAACAATGACCAGTGGTGTTCTCTCCTGCCCACGAATTCCTCCTCGCACCATAAACCTCCCTCTACCATACGGCACGACCTTCTGAAAGCACCATGCCGAAGTTCGTTCTCCCCTCCCCAACGAAGCAAATATCGGGCCCATCTAAAACTCTGACGACGATGTTGCGCTGTCAACTGTCCTCTGTAAGTCCTAATTCCTCGATCCCTGAGTCGCCAGGCCACTATCAGTCGACCAACCAAATGCCCTTTGGCATTCGTCGCTGATGACGTCACTGTCAAGAATCTATTCAGGAGAAAACAAATACGCAAGTACCGGTCTCCATTGGGCGTAGTTACCCCTGACCTGTCTGTTCTTGGTCTGTCTGATGTCTGCCCGGTCTGTATGTAAAGTTTCATCGGATGAGTTACAGCAACACAGCAACCAAAAGTTCTAGCCTTGTGGGCATGGGTGGCACTGGCTCCCATCTGTATCAAAGCCAGAGCTCGCTCGCTCGGGTGCCAGTCGTGGCATTTCCGTGGTGGTTGTTTTTATCAGTGAGTGTCTAACATGCCGTCCGTATCATAACAATATCCTAAAATAATCCTAAAACGACAAAGTAAGCCTCGCTTTGCGATTAAACAACGTTTGATATAAGGTCTCAATATGTACCATTACTGTGCCCAAAAGGGAGTGTTTTATTCCTGAAAATGATGGCGGGAAGGCGTCCACGACAACATACTAGCGACATGCGTGAACGTGTTGGTCTGCAGGTGAGTGAGTGATTGGGTTAGTGGGAGGAAGAGTGGGTGAGTGAATCAGTTGGTCAGGACACAACGTCAGGACGTAACTGTTGTGAATAAACAGTTGTTGATAAAAATCATATCTCCAGACACATTTTTCAGCGCTGGGTGAGATGTGCGCAAAGTTTGGTGAAGAAATATTAAACAGATTTTGATCTATGAGATTATCTCCGATTCTATAGACAGAGGGGGGCACGGGTGGGGGACCTGCATCACTTCGGGCTTTCCTCCCACATTAAGCTGACACGCCGCGATATAACTGGAATACTGTTAAAAACGGCGTTAAACCCAACTTGCTACAGACAGAGAGTGAACGTTGAACGGACGGACAGATGGACACAGGCATCTCCATATATAATGAAAACGTAATGATATGAATCACATTCATGTAAAACTGGGAATTTCTAGAACAGTGCTATACGTCACTTTGTTCTATTTGATCTATAAAGTTAACGGAAAGACCTATAATTACTGTGCTAATTAATACTAATTACTGTCATATGTCAGCTTTTCATTAGTGAGGGGCACGGGTGGCCCAGTCGTCTAAGGCGCCGCGATTCGATGTGCAGAGTTGCGTCCCCTGGACACGCCAGAAACCTATCATTGTGGGTTCGAATCCCGGTTCACCCCGATTATGTTTCTAGGTTTGTCAGCACCATACCCGTGCTCGTGGGTTTCACCGAAGTGGTAAACGTCTGAGACCTGCATCACTTCGGGCTTTCCTCCCACATTAAGCTGACACGCCGCGTTAAAAACGGCGTTAAACCCAACTTACTACAGACAGAGTGAAAGTTGAACGGACGGACAGACGGACACAGGCATCTCCATATATAATGAAAACGTAATGATATGAATCACATTCATGTAAAACTGGGAATTTCTAGAACAGTGCTATACGTAACTTTGTTCTATTTGATCTATAAAGTTAACGGAAAGACCTATAATTACTGTGCTAATTAATACTAATTACTGTCATATGTCAGCTTTTCATTAGTGAGGGGCACGGTTGGCCCAGTCGTCTAAGGCAGAGTTGCGTCCCCTGGGCACGCCAGAAACCTATGATTGTGGGTTCGAAATCCCGGTTCACCCCGATTATGTTTCTAGGTTTGTCAGCACCATACCCGTGCTCGTGGGTTTCACCGAAGTGGTAAACGCCTGAGACCTGCATCACTTTGGGCTTTCCTCCCACCTTAAGCTGGCACGCTGCGATATAAATGGAGTACTGTAAAAAGCGGCGTTAACCCCAACTCACTCACTCACTCACTCATTAGTGAGTCTAAGGTGTTGCTGGGTAATCTATTAACGGTTAACGATTAACGGTAGCGCATGGGTGGTTGGCCAGGTATAGTCTGTTCTTGATGTGTGTATGTATATCAAGTTAATAACAAATTGGGGCGGTCGGGTAGCCTAGTGGTTAAAGCGTTCGCTCGTCATGCCGAAGACCCGGGTTCGATTCCCGACATGGGAACAATGTGTGAAGCCCATTTCTGGTGTCCCCCGCCGTGATATTGCTGGAATATTGCTAAAAGCGGCGTAAAACCATACTCACTCACTCACTAATAACAAATTGTATATGACTTTTATCTTACATGCGGGTTTATATTGCATACAGACAACAGTCTGCACATAAAAGCTCATGCCAATCACAACCTACTGATTATCTGCCGGCATATCAAAGAAACCGGCTACGTGTGACGACCCACACTAACCAAAGTCCTCGTACGAAACACGTCGCTTAAACTGATCGCCATGCTTGGGTCGGTACATACCGTAAATCCTCGGAATAGCACCGGTTTTTTATTCATTTTCATCAACATTTTTTGATAATTTAGATTTTTTTGTAATAATAGCTCGTCTTTCATCTAAGTTAAAACAAACGTTTATTCAAGGCAGATGTCTCTTTCTTTCGGTTTACCAGGCTTTTTTTCAGGCAGACATTTATTTGATCGATGATTTACGGTAATACATAAAAGCTATCGAAGCACCAGGGAGAGGGTTATCAATGCAGCAATCTCACAAGCGTTTCACTGTTAATAACGAACTGAATGTGGAAAGACGAGAAAAATACTTCTACTTTTAGATAATAACGTTAAGACGTTTGACAACAAGTGTATATCCTGAGGTGCACATAATACCAATGATGTATAACGATATGTAGTATTGTTGTAGCATATTTCTCTATCTCGGTAATGTTGTGTAATGTAAGACGGTTTGTTATGTTAAAATTACTTCTAGTTGATAAAAGTAATAAGCTGGGGAAGTTTAACCACTTACTGAAAGGATGAAACTGGAGAAGGGGTCCGAGAACGGGAAGAGAATACAGTCCCGCGGGGCCGGGCATTTCCTTGAAGGGTCTCGCGTTTACCGTGGACGGGTTCCGCGTCTCTGTCGGCATGGGCGCTGTGCTTGACAGCCTTAGACAGACAGCATCTACATTGCTCTTGGTTACAACCGCCTTTCGGGTCAGCAGACATCTTGACAGAAGAGACGTCATCCCATCCACCCGATGCTGACACACTTTCGTCTTGTGAGCGTGCCTTGTTTACAGTCGTGTGTAGGAAGCGTACACACAAGCCTTCGTGTCGTTCCCTTGCTTATTGTACTCGAGATATCAGTTGTTCGACACAACACGGCGTGGGGTCATAAGCCAGCCTAGGGGTTGTTACTAGTTACATGGTCCTGTGGCTGAAAGCATTTGTGCTAAAAGAAATCTGTAGTCCTCCTTTTGTGGGTACGGGGCGGCGGGTCAAAGATTCACAAGGGAGGCAATTCAATATTGTGCGGTGATCTCTCGGTACAGGGTACGAAATGTAAGTTCTATCCTGTTGACATAAAAGAAATCTTTTTATAAAATTTTTGTCATTTGTTTGATGTTATCCCGATGGTGTATAACTGGCGTTACGTGAATTATAGAGTATACATATACAAAATAGAAAATACAGCCGTAGTAATTACATATCCCGGGACCCGTGAAGATCCGGGGTAGAATAGGTCTTCAGCAACCCATACGTGTCGTAAAAGGCGAATATAACGGGATCGGGTGGTCAGGCTCGCTGACTTGGTCGATGCACGTCATCGTATCCCAATTGCGTGGATCGATGCTCATAACGTCAATCACTGGATTGTCTGGTCCAGACTCGATTATTTACAGACCGCCGCCATATAGGTGGAATATTGCTGAGTGCGGCGTTAAAGAACAAACCAAAAATGCAACCAACAAACAAACAACATATCCCGGGACACAGGTGGCCCAGTGCACTGATACATTGTGCAGGGATCCACTGATTGTCGGCTCAAATCGCAGATTCACCGGATTATGTTTGTAGGTTTATTGGCACCGTTCCCGTGCTCCTGAATTTCACCAAATTGCCAAACGTCTAATACCCCGTTCACATGCGCCTCTATACATATGTGTGTATATGTGCATACGTGTGTAGAAATACATACGAGAGTATACTTGTCATGTGAACGCGTTTACTCATGTGTGTATATCTACATCAGAAGCAAATTTACATCATGTCTGGAGCAGGTGCAAATGTAAATTTGCACTGTGTGTATATGTTGCAACGTTTTTGTCAGCGTAAGAGGATGATGATCTGATTAATATCTGTTCTTTAGCCAACACCAAACAAATTGTTATCAGTTGCCAACGTTTATGCGTATATACAGAGTTGAGCGGACGATGTTTTCTTTTGGTTTCAAGGAGTCAAAACATTGTGTACAAATTAAATCCAACACATGTTGCTTCACGCGAAAATTTTCGGTGAAGTGACTCTCTCCTCATTCAACTTTGATTGGAAAGCAACATGTTTTGTGTTGAAAATCGTGAACAGTCTGACGAATGTGTAAACCAGGACCCAAAACAAGACGAAGATGATGTCAATGATTACATTTTAGACGGGAATGTAGGGGACTGCAATATTTTAAATGATGATTTATCATCCAAAACTGGCTCCCACATGAGATATCGCTTGGATGAGATCAAGCGACATCTGCCCTGTAGATATCGCTACAATGAAATTACATCACAATGCTTTGCAGACCATTGTGACGTTACTGGTTACCATGACGCCACAATCAAATGACATCACTAATGGGTCTGCTACTGAAGCTGTACCTTTTACACTGAAGACACTGCTACTTACTGTCTACAAATTAAAAAAGTTGGAAGAATGATGCTGGATGATAAATAAAATCTCACCCTCGTGTCTTTTAATGTCAAATATATCAACACTCGTTGATAATAGTGGCAATAATGTTCCCACTTTTATCAACTCGTGTTGATATATTTGATATCAAAAGACACTCGGGTGAGATTCTCTCATCACTACCGACGAAATTATAAAGGCAGCGAGGACAAAGCTGCAAGTCTAGATAATGTAGAAAACGACAAGTATATCATTGACAGTGTCGTTTACTAGCCCAGTTATATACTGTTTTTTTTTAAAAATCTGGTATTCGCCTCTGGTATTATCCCTGAATAATTGTTAACAGAAATAATAAAACCAATTTACAAACATAAGGGTGATCCATCTGACCCACATTCATACAGACCAATAACATTGCTGAGTTGCTTCGGTAAGTATTTACAAGTATTCTAAATGACCGTTTAATTATTTTTTAGAAGAACACGCTCTTATAAGTGAGTGAGTGAGTGAGTGAGTATGGTTTTACGCCGCATTTAGAAATGTTCCAGCAAAATCACGGCGGGGGACACCAGAAATGGGCTTCACATATTGTACCCATGTCGGGAATCGAACCCGGAGTCTTCGGCGTGACGAGCGAACGCTTTAACCACAAGGCTACCCGACCGCCCCAGCTTAGCGCAGGTTGGCTTAAGAAAGAAGATTTCAAGGACAGATAATATACTTGTTATTCATATGTTAACACCGATATTACATATAAGGGGAAATTCTGTCACTCCTTTTGTTTTCAATCCTTCTAAATCACCTGGAATCCTTTAAATCGGTAACGAATGCGAATGCGAGATATGTCATCAGGTATCAGTATCCTTCATTAACTGCTAAGCCAACAACTTTTAAGTAGGGACTTTCGTGTTGTGTAAGGAAATGATGTCAGTGTATCAGATACTTTATGCATTGTAGAAGAAGAAAAGAAAAAGAAGAAGATTTTATTAACGTCTCACTTGTATACCACATTTTTGTTAAAATAAATTAAAAATATAGTTACATTAAAGTTGTATACAACCAATCGCACAGCGATTTATGAGAGACGGTACATTGTAAACAGGCACATAGTAAAAAAAAACCAAAAGCTAAATATTAAAATATACATACATTAATATACAATACAATGTTTAAGACTCAATGATATAAAATATTCCTCCGGGTATATAAAATGTCATGGCAGGTTCTGGCACAGTAAAAGGTGAGGTCATCAGTTGATAGAATCCTAATATATTTATCTTGCTCTGTCAAAGAAGTAAAATCTATCCATAAACTATTGCACTTGTTGATGAGGCTAAAACGTATTTCGTCGTAAAGGGGACAGAATAAAAGGACATGCTTCTCATCTTCCATGACATTTTTGCAGTTAAGACACAGCCGCATCTCTCTGGGTATGTTCTCGTATCTGCCCGTTGCGATCCGCAGAGGGGCCACGCCCAGTCTAAACTTTGCTAGTGCACTTCTGGGTTTGCGTGGGATTGGTGGACTGACATAGCTTTCTTGTCCATATTCACTCTTAAATTGTTTGTACGACCGTAACTTGCTGCTTCCACTATGTGCTGCTTCACTCCGGATTGTTTCCTCCCATGACTGTTTGTATCTGTTAAAGTGAGTCAGTGTGAGTGTGTATGGTTTTACGCCGCATTTAGCAATATCCCAGCAATATCACCGCGGGGGACACCAGAAATGGGCTTCAAACATTGTACCCATGTCGGGAATCGAACCCGGGTCTTCGGCGTGACGAGCGAACGCTTTAACCACTAGGCTACCCGACCGCCCCTATCTGTTAAAGACGGTATCATGTACAGTTTTAATAAAGAGACCCTTTTCCAGAGTGCCGTCGTATAGAATGAAATGACCCAAGTTGAAGTTCTGTAAAAAGTTCCTCACACGATGATTCCAGTTTTTCAATTGTATTTTAAGTATTGGGCCAATGGGACTCCGAAAAAGGCTGAGATTCCCTTTTATAATTACCAAACAGGCCTCAAAGTGTCAGCAACAAATAGTTCATAATAGGATGGAGATTATTAAATATCTTTAAGTGGTATTTTCAGAATTCTTTTGAAGTTCATTCTTTTCATACGATTTATATTTTAAATGTGTCAAAAACTGTTTTCACATGCTTGTGAATTTTCATTGCATGTTATGTTTGTATTGTTTGTATAATAAAGTACGTATATTTGTTCAAAGGATAAACATGGTTCACAAAGACTACGAGACTAAGAGCTCAGAAGTCATATATCTACAAACAAATAATTTTTTATGTAAATCCACCCTTTTTACTAATATAACTAAATATATAACTAACTGTTATATTATAATGTTAGTAAAATATAAAATAGTACTAGTATAATAGTACTAACTGTTATTTTATGTTTGCAACATATATAACTTATATATTACAACATTTGTAAAATACACAACTGCTATTTTATAATGTTTGTAAAAATATACAACTGTGATAATAATTATAATGTTTGTTAAACTTGTAACTGTTATGTTATAATGATTTTAAAATATGTGACATGTTATAATTTTTGTAAAATATAAATGTTTGTAAAATGTATATTTGTTGTAACATAATGTTTGTCAAATATACAACTGTTATAGTATACTGTTTGTAATGTACGGAAATGCAGATTAGTAGACAATATAAAACGCGATCTTGGTCGGGGAAGCGCTACAAATTTAACGGAAATACCTGAGACAAGGATTAGCGGTCCTTGCGCACATCCGGGCATTTGGCACGAGATTTACATGCGCGGAGGTCCCAGTGACTTTTGTTTCTGCAGGTGCTTTCGAGAAGGGTCATTGTGGAGGTAGGTTGAACGCCTTCGTTGATTTATGCTTTTGTTGAACGAGCATAGAAAGATGTTTTTTTAGGAAATAAATGAGGAATAAATGAGGGGAATAATGCTTAGTTATTAAATTCCAATTGATATGGACGTGTATACAGATTCCACCTGATTTGTGTTTCCATTTTTCAGTATTCGATCATGGCGTCGACTCGTGCAGCCTTCGTCTTAGCTTTGGTCGTTGTGAGTGTCAAGACACATTATATTACGCCAGGAGAAGGTTAAAATGTCTTTAGAATTATCTGTGCTCGTATAAAGTCACCGTACCTGTGAAAAGTGGTGGGGAATGAGAAATGTAGTGAAATTCATCGTTATTTTATCAGATGTCAGTGACACTGGACCTCTGACAATCTGTTTGTTGTTTAACGCCGCACTGAGCAATATTCCAGCTATATTACGACGGTCTGTAAATAATCGAGTCTGGGCCAAACAATCTAGTGTTTGACATCATGAACATCGTTCCACTCAATTGGGATACTATGACATGCATCAACCAAGTCAGCAAACCTGACCAAAACATTTTAATTTTTTTCGCCACATTACTTCAGTTTTACGGTTAAAACTCTCCACTTGTTTCAGGCCATCGTTCGTGCGGTTCCTCCTGCAGGATACATCATAGACGGTACGTGGAGGGGAGGCTGGGTTGGAAGCGGTTGCACTGCAATGTTTAAAAGTTGGAAATACTGCAATATTTCAAAGTAAAGAATACTGCAATATTTGAACATATTGTATTGTTCTTCCCACGAAATGGCCAGGCAGAATTAGCTGTTCGCCAGCTGTTTCTAATAAAAATGAATTTTGTCAAAAGTACTGAACACGAGAGAGTTGCCATCTCTCACAGGCGCTGCTCTGAAATTAAAGTACTCATGGAAATGAAAAACCCTGTTTTGCTGGATTTAATAATCGACACAAAGCATTACGTAGATATAAATACGAAATAACCAAACAGGAGGTAATTTGTAGGCACTTTCAACATTCAAAAATAAAACTGAGTCCAAATTGACATGGCAGAAACAGGCTATAGGCATTATGCAAATTAGCCTGAAAAAAAGGTTATCAAAACAATAGAAATAACAGCTATGTTGTCGCAGAGGCTTATGCAGGGTAATGGAGAGACACAAAAACATGCTGTTTTTACAACCGGATTTATTCCAAGGATGGTCCACAATCAGTGGTTATGATGATGAAGAAACCCTAAAACACAATATTTACAAAATGTAGGCAAACATCATAACCAATAGATCATTAAAAGAATACTGCCATTATACATCCATTACATGTTTTTGATATGCCAATCAATAAGATATAATGTGAACACTTCTTTACATTTAGTACCGTAAAGCATGTTATGGAGGATATCTCCTCAGTGAGGATGATATCACTGAATACACTACAAAGCAATTAAATAATACTATATTAAGCAATATAATATTACAATAGTATAGACAATTATGCCATGACATGTTGACATAAATATATGTATAACTAAGGGAAGTAACCCTCACCTCGTCTAAGGGACGGGGGCCAAACCACCAGATGTCATCAAAACTGGTCATCCAGTATCTTGCGTGACCTGATAAATGATATATAACTACATGAATCTTACTGGTATGGTAAACATCACATACATTGTATACATGGTATGTGAAACCCATCTAGCAGTATAACAATCAACATTTTTAGGCATTTCATATGTATGATAAAATCAACAAATATACTGTTTTGGTATTTTACACTTTCATGATAAAATAGTACCAATACATGCTTAAATCTAGTACTCATTATGCATATACCTCAATGGTAACATCTTACAATATTTAAATATATATTGCACTAACATGAATATACTGATAATTCATGTTTATAACATATACATGATATACTGTTCTTATGGAACATAAATGACTTAATATGAGTGTGTTGTTGTTGTTGCATTAGGTGTTTAAGAGGTCGCCTTCTGCCTTGGCAATTTCGGCTGACCTGTCCCTCTTTGGGACTCCTGTGTGTGAGAAGGGTTCACATATCTATTGTGACATAATTTCTGTTTTTGCATTGATATGATTTCTATTTTCTTATATTGATATGATTTCATTTTTATCCTTGGCTGCTCTGTTCATATACGTTCGAGCAGCTGTCCATCTCTCAGAAATAGAGTTAGTTTGGCCTTCGCTATTGCATCTCTTGGCTTTAAGAGATCTATGACAGATAGCGGATCTAACTGCAATTCTTGTTTTAACCTAGCCCGGGCTGGGGCATGGTCTTGACATTCTAGTAACAGGTGGTCAATGGTTTCAGCCTGATTGCAAGATGAACAAACCTTGTCATAGTGCTTTTTGTGACCAAATCTGAGGCGTGAGATAGCAGTTTCAATTTTCCTTTCATTTGAGTATGAGTTTGGCTTTTGCTGGACCTTGGGTTGAATTTTGTATAGCCATCTGCCGATCTTACTTGCGTCCCATTGGGTTTGCCATCTTTTGGCTATGGAGGCTTTGATTTTGCTTTTTATCTCTAGTTTACTAAAGGGAATAGGCTGTATATCCGCTTTGTCTAGAGATAGCTTCGCCAGTGAGTCTGCTTTTTCATTTCCATGAATATCTATGTGAGAGGGGATCCAACACAGCTCCACCTGTTGCCCTTGGTCCGATAGTTTTGTATATTCGTATGGAATAGTGTTGACTGTGTTTGGCTTGGAGTTTGAGTTTCTTCCACTGATGGCCTGAAGTGCACTTAGCGAGTCTGATAGGATGACTGCCTTTGCTTCCGGGAGTTCCGGTATGAGTTTGAGTGCATGATGAATTGCCTCCAATTCAGCCGTGAATACTGACTGACCATCGGGCAAGCGAACTGCATGTGCTTGGGGTTTGGAGCTGTGGATATGGATCCCGTAACCAGCACTGTTGTTGATAGGATTCTTGGATCCATCAGTGTATATATGGGCCCAGCTGTCCCAGGTAGTTTGAATTTTAGTGATAGCTACTGATCGTAGTAGGGTTGGGTTTTCTCTTTTAGTGACTTCTGATGTTAAAGCAGTGTCAACTTTGGGAGTTTGTAAAGTCCAGGGAGGGTGTAACCCTTTGTAGTGACTTTCTGGAGGCTGAATGTCATCGCAATTGTGACTTCGAATGAGTTCACGTACTAATATCCCAGATGGCTTTAGTGAGGGATTTTTTCGAGCTAGGGCCTCATCTCGAGCGTCTTTGTCTTGCCATATCTTTTTAACCAAAGGGTTTGATGTTCGTCCCCAGAACGATAATATTGCATGCTCTCGTCTTAAATATGAGTGTACTAAAATACATAATATATACTAGAAACCTAAGTACAATGATAATAAATATATTTAACTCACCACAAACGGAACTGTCCTTTCCCAGTGAGAGTTGTGACTAGAAAATGGTGCACAAGTAAAGGTATGAAGTACATTACCAAGGTGGTCATGTGACGCGGGAAATACAAAGCCAGGCCAAGCTGACCAGCAGAGAACAATAGGCTAGGCTGAGACCGCAGTAGCCTTAGCACAAAGAATCAATCACCACATGTTAGATTATGTTACTGAGGTGTGAGTTAGTGGACTAAGTAAACTAATTTATTTAATAAATACACTAATCCTAAAATACCTTTGTTTTGGATAAGTTTATACTAAACTACTTTTAAAATAATCCCAAATATATACATCCTGCCACATGTACATAATAATAATGACATGTAAGTTGTTGTTTGAGAAGGGAATATGTTACTTTTACGTTCTGATATTTTGAAGATGATTCACTATCCCACAATGCCACTCACAAATCACTAACCACTGACAAATCACATGCACGTGGGTTTCAAGCACCTGTTTTCACCTGTCAAGGTGTCATAGGTCATGGACATTCACCTTGATCTACTAACACCTGGTTATGCTTAGTTTCACAATAGTCTGTTTTGTTCATATTTTTACACACTTTTACGTGTAAAAAGACATAAAAACCTTTGATACGCTGTATTTGTGCTAAGGCCCAATTAGTACTAGTTGAGTTGTTCGAATATTCATATATTTTGTATATTAACTGCATTTATTTAAAATCTGAGATCGAAAAAAGTTTTTTTTCATTTCCGTGTGTACTTTAGTAACAATAAGCATGTTATCACGCCCTAAAGACATTGCACACAATTGCCAATTTCATTGGTTGATTACACAATATATTTGATCCATCTCACCTTAAACAGTTGCCCAGGCGATATTTTGTGCTCGAGATTTATTCGTTGAACAGTTTAGTATTAACTAAATGACTTCTTACATGTACAATAGATAAGGCTCACTCTAAGGCGCCTTTGGGCACGCCAGAAACCTATGACCTCGGGGTTGAATCCCGATTCTCCCCGATTGTTTCTCCGTTTGTCAGCACCAAAGTGGTAAACGTCAAAGAACTGCGCATGCATCACTTCGGGCTTTCCTCGGACGTTAAGCTGACACGCCGTGATATAACTGGAATACTGTTAAAAGCGGCGTTACAAACAACTCTCACTAACTCACATAATTTCATTCATTTGCATAAGCGCCTAGGCGTAGTCATCATGGCTTCGACGCTATGTACTCTTTCTACTTTCTATGACGTTTACTTGTATAGATATGTAAGCAGCTAAAGAAATGATATCCTCTCTCCTAACCCAGTCAAGAGAAACAATTTTTTTTCACCTGGCACCGCCTCCATGGTCTAGTGGATAGAGCGACTGCCCGGAGAGCGGAAGGTCGATGGTTCGACCCCCGGCCGCATCATTCCAAATACGTTAAAAGATGGTACTTTTTGTTACCCTGCCTGGCGCTCGTGATTCAGGGAATAAAACAGCTCGGCTCGGAGTCGGCATACTGTGAGTGGGATCCATGTTAAACTGGGGCGGGTAGCCACGCCGAAGACCCGGGTTCGATTTCCCACCTTGGTACAATGTGTGAAGCCCATTCGGGTATCCCCCGCCGTGATATTGCTGAATATTGCTGAAAACGGCTTAAAATCAAACTCACTCCTTGTTAAGCTGCGGCAAGGACCAGCACTTTAAATCTGGACAAGGACGAGCACTCATGCACATCGCTATATTACGGCAATAATCTTGGACACGCCGTTAACCCGTCTTCACCTGTTTTATCTGGCATATTCGGATGCTTGATGTTGATTTCGTGTTGTTTCCCAGTGAAACCCTCCTGCGGTCCTGATACTGTCGCGGATGGCTACGTGGAGGTGGTCACCGACCTGAACGCCAATGCGAAGGCGGTGTGTTTGGGTGGTACGACCCACAAGTTTTCCAAAGTGGACAACGTCAAATTACGGCTCAATGTCTCCTATGCAGGTCGCGGCAACTCCCCCTGTATATTCGAAGTGAGTTGATCTGAGAATATGTTTTGTTATTGTTTGTTATATATTCACCACTGCAATTAAGCGCACTGAACATGTGGGTGCCAACCCCCCTTTTGGTAGCCGGATGCCGAGCATTAAGTGGTATTCCGGATGCCGCGGTGTAGTAGCTGGGTGTTTACCCGAAAATTTATTTTTCGTTTGTTTATTTTTGCAGAGTGACAAATCAATTTAATATTCAGCACTGTGCTATAAACACGTATGGTCATGCATGATGTGTGAAAACCCCAGACTATTTACTTCAACCAGCCGTGTACACGGATAGGACTCTTTTATATTGGATGCCACGTGGCATGCCTTATGCCTATAGGTGGGGTTTGGAACTCTCAAAAATTGATTGTATGATGTCTGGGGCTCAAAACGAGTCTGGTGATAGTGTAGAGGCCGCCTTTATATGCCTTCAGCAACCCGTGCTTGCCGCAAGCGGCGACTATGCTTGTGTAAGAGGCGACTAACGGGATCGGGTGGTCAGGCTCACCGACTTAGTTGATGCATATCCCAATTGATGCATATCATCGTATCCCAATTGCGTAGATCGATGCTCATGATATCAATCACTGGATTGTCTGGTCCAGACTCGATTTTTTTACAGACCGCCGTCATATAGCTGGCTTATAGCTGAGAACGGCGTTAAACAAGAAACAAAACAAACAATATCAAGAATCAAGAATTGTTATTGTACAGAACACCCTCGTAGGGCAGGGTACAAACTATCCACATGGACATAAATATAACTATCAACATGAAAGGTTGATATGCATAATGCACATTATATATATACATATTACATATTATTTCATTCAGTGTATAAACATTTATATATATATATATATATATATATATATATATATATATATATATATATATATATATATATTATATATATATATATATATATATATATATATATATAAATCATGAGGTGGCTGGCAGCTGTACTTTAATGATGCTGATACTGTATAGATAGGACATAATAATCATAAGGTCATATCTAGATGTTGTCTATAAGAGAGGTTCTTTTAATAAAATATGTCGGAGATAATTTGTGAAACATTTTGCTCTTTCAGGACAGGGGTTCAGGATATTTGCTAAGATTTTATTATCATTTTGGCAGTTTTGTAAGTCTAGTGTTCGAAGAAGTATCTGCCTTTCATTCTGATAATTTGGACAGTACAAAAGGAAGTGTTTCTCATCTTCTATCTTATTTAGGTTACATAATTTACACATTCTCTGGTCGACAGGCGTGTTTTGTGCCTGGAAGTATTGCCAGAGCGTCGTAAAATCCTTGATTTTTGTAGAAACGGAAGGGCGTGGATGTGTATGTCATCAGCGTCACTGTGGCCTACGGACAGACAGGTGGCATGATCCAGCAGAAGTCCGAGCAGTACACTGTGACCTGTACATTCAGTGCCGCGGGGGGTGTGGGCACCGTAAAGCACACGATTCACGAAGGGTAGGTACAATGTATATCCGGAGGCTTGTTTTCGTTACCACGGGAAAGTGAGCACCGCCCAACACACGTCTTCAGCAACCCGCGATTGTCGTCAGTGGCGACGGAAGGTGGTCAGACTGGCTTACTTGGTTGATGCATGTCACTTTATCCTAATTGCCTGGATCGATGCGCATGATATCAATCACTGGATTATCTGGTCCAGACTCGATTATTTACAGACCGCCGTCATATAGCTGGACTATTGCTAAGTGCGGCGTTAAACAACAAACAAAACATCATAGTTCCTGGATATGGGCGATTGATCAAATGTGGATTTATCCGCCGCTACAAACTGGGAGTGGCCAAGACAATAAAAACAAGTGCTTGAACCATATGTTCACATGTTCTAAATTATTTTACCAAGGAATAATAGATCACACATATTATACCCATACACACCAAAATAAACGTTACTTCTATCACCTTGTAACCGTTACTCAACGTAATAATTGCACTTATATTTAAGTCACCAATTATTTGCATACTAATGGCATATTTGTCTGCAACCCAGATCCGATTACACAAAGCAATCGTACAGCTGAGGTGGTCGTAACTCCCATGCTTCACACACTTTCGATTGTCGCTACGCTCGCTGTATGGAACGCGTCACTAGCCCCATGATAATTTTAATGTATAGTTAAATGTATCAAGTTCACAAAAGTCATGTATGTTAACGAAAGTAGGTAACGAGAAAAGTAACCATGCTGCTTATGAAGTTCAATAATAAAACCTTGATAATGGATCTTTTAATACATATTCATGAAGACACCTCACTTTTGGGGCGATATAATAGCCCATTGGTTAAAGCGTTTGCTCACCACACCGAAGACCCTGGTTCGATTCCCCTTATGGGTATAATGTGTGTGGCCCTTTTCTGGTGTCCCTCGCCGTGATATTGCTGGAATATTGCTAAAAGCGGCGATAAACCATACTGGCTTACTCTAAACTTTAAGGTCTTGATTCACAATTTGCAAACGGATGTTAATATACGGCGCACTGCGGATGTCTGTGTGTCGTTTGGAGCATGATAATGTAACACGTGTTTGTTTAATGTGAACATTACACAATGACACAACCGTATATAACGCTTATGCAATGCCACAGCTTGCTGAAAATTAACGTCTACGCGCCGTGGGAATGCAGCAAACAGGGATGACGCAAAACGAATTGCCAGACATTTTAATGTTCATCAAAACACAATCATCTCATTGGTGAGTGACGTTATTTACAGCAGGGCAACACTCATGACTTGGCACAGGCCGGTCGTCCACGTGTCACGTCATCAGCAAGGCGGACATTTTCGGTTGGTACATCTACGGAATCAATACTAAGTGCCAAATTAAGCGCTCGAACAGTTTCAGTGTTGAGACCAATAAGTGGCAGATCCGTACGCAAACGGTTGAGAGAGCACAACATCCGGTCCCGACGTCAAGCAATAGGCCACCTTGGTGTAGAGAGCATTGAGTTTCAGAAGACTGGGGCACTATAATGTTCACAGATGACTGTTTTATGTGGACAGCTCTGGTGGTCCTTCAAGGGTCTACAGGCGTCCACTAGAGCGTTTTAGCGACGCTGGCAGTTAACAGCGTCAAGTAGAGGGTGGAAGAGGGTATTGTTCTAACATCAAGGCTTGGTTGGTCGTTTAACGCCACACTCAGCAATATTCCAGCCATATGACGGCGCTCTGTAAATAATCGAGTCTGGACCAGACAGTCCAGTGATCGACATCTGAACATCGATCCAGGCAATTAGGATACGATGAAATTCATCAACCAAGTCAGCGAGCCTGACCACCCGATCCCGTAGTCGCCTTACGACAAGCATAGTCGCAGTTTACGGCAAGCATGGGTTGCTGAAGACCTACTCTACCCCGGATCTTCACGGGTTAAAAATACAGTGATTTGTTCATCATATACACATGATGATATTGAATCATTAATACGGCGAACAGTGAATGCATGATTGATATCAATAGTAAGTCCAGTAGGTAGTTTCAAGGCTCATAGGAAGCGGTACTGGAAACAGGATGGGCCACAAGATGACCAGTTAAACATACAAGTTGCAAGGCAATGGTTGTGCGAGGTTAAGCCAAAGGGAGATAATTTCGTTCTTTTAAATCATACAAGCACGCTAAGCGAGAATTCCAACGTCTGTCAAAGCGGTCTTGTTCTGAGAAATTTTGTTCGGACTTAAATCAAACTTGAGGCTGACGTGAATACGTTTTGAAAGTCTGTGAGAAATCTACGTAATCAGAAGATGGAAGTTGATAAACTTGTGTGTGACGACTTTAATGTAACCCCCACTGACCTGTCAGCTTTCAGCCAGATTTTATGCGTATCTGACAAAGCCATATGACTCAACAGTTCGATCAAGACTTTAAACATAGCATGGACTGTGAAATGGTGAAATTAGCCTCTAGTAGTGAAACTAATTCCTGTGTTGATAATGCATGTGTGCAGAAATATTCATTCACGAAGTCACTAGACATGTACGGAAACTGATGAGGAACATATCGCCTGGCCCTGACAACAATAACTTTGAACATGGGGTGTTTGATGATGGGCTTCTGGTGAAGAAGTTAGCACTATTATTTCATGCTATTCTTACGTAGGCGCCCCGTGAAGATCGGGTGGTCAGGCCAGCTGATTTGGTTGATGCATGTCATCGTATCCCAATTGCGTGAATCGATGCTCGTGATATAAATCACTATTGTCTCTCTATAAAGAAGAGACTATGCTTCTCATGAGGCGATTAACGCTGACTTGGTTGAAGCATGTTATCTTATCCCAATTGCGTTGATCGATGCTCATGTCAATCATCGAATTGTTAGGCTCGAGCGAGTGTTTACTGACCGCTGTCATATAGATGGAATATTGCTGAGTGCGGCATTGAACAACCAACAAAAGACAATTGTGGTCGTATTCCAGACTGATAGCACCACTGGAGGTGCAGCACAACACGGGACGCGAATCCAAATCCACGGTGACCCTGAACGTCGTGGATGTTCTTGGCAATGACTTGACAGGGTCTGACCTTCACCTGGTCAAGACTGTGCAACTCAAGGCCGTAAGTAAAGGTAAGTATGACGGCTCGACTCGTCCTACCACCGATTTTCTCTGTTGGGAGTCCAGGGCCCCGTTCCACAAAACAATCTTATCGCTAAGACGATCTCAACTCCCATACTTTTACATGGACTTACGACAATCGTAGCGCTAAAGGTTCCCAGGTTCGAATAGTCCTCAGTACGGTAGTGCCTCATGCTTAACCGACCCGTGAAGATCTGGGGTAGAAAAGGTCTTCAGCAACCCTTGTTTGCCGTAAAAGGAGACTAACGGGATCGGTGGTCTGGCTCGCTGTCATGGTTGTTGCTTATCATCGATCCCAATTGCGTGGATTAATGCTCATGATATCAATCACTGGATTGTCTGGTCCAGACTCGATTATTTACAGAGCGCCATTATGTAGCTGGAATATTGCTGAGTGCGGCGTTAAACAACAAACCAACCAAATCGTGCTTAACCCCATTGGGATCCCAGGTTGGAATTGGTTCCCAGCAACCATTGCTGGACGACATAGGCGACTAAATGGATCGGATGGTCAGGTTCGGCCTTGGTGGATTGCTTGTCATCGTATCCCAACGGCGTGGATTGTTACGGCGTAAATATAGGTGATGCCTGCATTCGATCGGGCAATAGATCTGCAAGACATACAGGTACGCACACTGAAGACTGAACTGGTTTAAACATTATTACGCACAGTCATGTTGAATTATTGGGGTTCATATTTTGTTCATGTGTATTTGTATTGGGTAAGATTTTACGCAACTTCGTAGCTAATCTTAGGCCCAGGACTAATCTGCATGCGTGGTTATGTATGTTGCTTGTGACTGCAGGCGAACAGGGAGAGAAAGGCTTCAAGCCCGTGTCATGTGATGCTGTTGGTGTGAAGACAAAGAAGCGATACCCTGTTCTAAGGGCTGGGTTCGTGTTCAAAGTTTATTAATACGCTTATTATTCTTTAATTTTCGAAGTTAAAAAGGGGGCACATGTTGTCCAGTCGTCTTAGACGCCGCATTCCACTGTGCAGAGTTGCGTCCCTTGGGCACGCCAGACACCTGTGATTGTGGGTTCGAATCCCGGTTCGGCCCGATTATGTTTCTAGGTTTGTCAGCACCATACCCGTGCTCGTGGGTTTCACCGAAGTAGTAAACGTCTCAGACCTGCATTGATTCGGGCTTTCCTCCCACATTAAGCTGACACGCCTTGATATAACTGGAATACTTTTAAAAGCGGCGTTAAACCTAACTCACTCGAAGTTAAAGAATACAAGTATGACCGACATTGATTACAATGGCCAAATACACGCAGGGAATGTTCGGGTTAAATGCGAGATGTCCCGTCAGCTTCATTAAAATAAATTATCCAATGTCACTATAAATTCCGATGGTTAAGAAAAGATTATGGTTCCAACTAACGATAAAATTATGAATTTGTTTTTCAGATTACTTTTCAGTCTTTAGACAATGTCAGTTTTAAACATAATTCTCAATATCGATAGTCCAATGTTAAATCATTTTTAAAAACAATAGCCCATGTGATATATTTTCAAGATTGAAAGGCTTATGTTGAATCTGTTGAAAGCAAGGTCACATTTCAACATTTCGAATATTGAAAGGCATGAAATGTTGAAATAATATTCTGACAATGTTTTTCAACCTATCAACCTCGGATCAACTAAATTTCAACTGCGAATCAATTTCATGTACCTGATGGGTATGTGGTTAATTGTACATTAACCACGGTCTTCGCCAGATCAATGATTCAGTGAAATGTCTCAGCCCGTTTTGCTTACTAAGCATGCGACGTAACTATTTGTTTAGGCGATTTCTGTGAGTCAAACATATTTGGTTAGTATGTAAGAAGTGGTAGACAGCTAAACCTTGATAATCAATTCGAGAAAACATGCTGATTTGAACAGCCACGTTTAATGCCTTTCAGTGGAAGTTGTGCATTAACGAAAACAGGAAGAGCATGAAATCGACCCGTGGCGATCCGGGGTAGAAATGGTTTTCAGCAACCCATGCTTGTCGTATGAGGCGACTAACGGGATCAGGTGGACGGTTCGTGGTTGATGCTATTTTGTTTGTTGTTTAACGCCACACCAGACAATCCAGCGATTGATATCATAAAGCATCGATCCACGCATTTGGGGTACGATGACATGCATCAACCAAGTCAGTGAGCCTGACCACCCGATCCCGTTAGTCGCCCCTTACAACAAGCATAATCGCTTTTTACGGCAAGCAATGGTTGCTGAAGACCTATTCTACCCCGTATCTTCACAGGTCGGTTGATGCATGTCATCCTATCGGGGATACGTAGGTCGAAACCAACTGCATTGTCTGGTCCAGATTCGATTATTTGGACCCCCGACATAGAGCTGGACTATTGCTGAGTGCGCATTAAACAACAAACAAGAACACATTCAAAGTTCTGATTGTCAGTTGTTGAATTTCTTCCATCTAACATTGAAATTCTCATCGTAGGACTTGAAGCTTCTGTACATTAGTAACACTATGACACAATCACATTGATAATTAAGTGAATCGGGTCATTCAACGCCACCCTGGAACTCAACGCCACCCTGGAACTCAACGCCACCCTGGAACTCAACGCCATCCTGGAACTCAACGCCATCCTGGAACTCAACGCCACCCTGGAACTCAACGCCACCCTGGAACTCAACGCCACCCTGGAACTCAACGAAAATCATTTTTGGGGGGTCAAAGCGTTCGCTCGTCACGCCGAAGACGCGACTTCGATTCCCTCATGGATACAATGTGTGAAGCCCATTTCTGGGGTCCCCCGCCGTGATATTGCTGGAATATTGCTAAAAGCGGCGTAAAACCATATTCCCTGGCGTAAATGATTTGGATCTCCCAAAATATATCATTGAATCACTTGGACACGAACGTAGGGCCAGGTAACGCGGGCACTGTCATCAAGGTATCGGAACCATTTATGGGTATATGCACTGATAGGAATGCGCCTTCGAGTGTTTGCATTTGTAACCACATGTGTTATATGTATTGTTCACAGCTGCGGTGACGGAATTATCTTTCATCGGAACCAAGGGTTCACCACAACTGGCCTTACATCCGTCAGTCCCTACTTCCCTGCCTTCAACGTAGCCTCCGACCCAGTCCTCAGATTCGAGTGCAACTTTACCTTCTGTGACGCGGTCTGTGATGGGGTGCGTGCCACAGTGTTAATGAACAGTCCCTCTCAGCTGTCCGGGTAGATTCTTCAGCAACCCATGCGTTCCGTATGAGGCGACTAACGGGATCGGGTGGTCAGGCTCGCTTACCTGGTTGATGCATGTCATCTTGTCCCAATTGCGTAGATCGATGTTCATGATATCAATCACTGGATTGTCTGGTCCAGACTCGATTATCTACAGACCGCCGTCATATAGCTGGAATATTGCTGAGTGCGGCTTTATAAAACAAACTTTTATGAACCAAAAGGTACATTAAGTTCCTTTAGGAGTACAGTTTATATCGTAAATTTGTTTATATTTCAGAGCAGCTGTAAAAATGCCAAAATTCGAAGATCCATAGGATCTGAAAAAAGCCGTAAGTATAAAGTTGTGTGTAACGCCGTAACCAATGACAATTTCGGCGCAAAATAGGACAAAAGGAACAGGTGTCGAGTACGGGGCTGATGCAATTCACGTTCTTGACCTGCACCACGTGGGGTATCCTTCTATATCATTAAAGGTAGACATCGAAACGTAGTTAAAGGCTAGAAGACCTTCAGTGACACGTGCCTAAATACGACACGTAATTTTTTTCACGTGTCGGCAGTACATCTTGATTAAACGTATCGCAAGAAACACATGATCTATCGGGTCAGACGTTCCCTAGCAACAAGTGTTGGTCGTAAAAGGCGACCAAATGGACTTGTGTTCAAGCCCGATGACTTGGTTGTGTGCTCACAATATTGATCACTGGATTGTCTAGTCCAGACTCGATTACTTCAGGCCGCCGTTCTACAGCTGAACTAGTGCTGAGTGGCGTTAAACGAACAGCTTACTTTTATCTTCGTGAAATTATCTCCATAATGTCGTATGGAAGCGATTTCTGTTATTTTAGGAGAAAAAGTACATCACTATTCTCAGTGTTATATTTTAACATTGTCATTTAGGCTTGACGTAATCAACTGAATCTTTTATGGTAAATCTTATGATTATAAGAAAGCAAGAACATGTATGGGATGTTTTAGTGAGTCCATACAAATCGATATTGTCGGTGAACTGAATATTTCAGAATATTAATATAACGACGATTCGGAAAAGACGGGACCGTCTCCGTGGTCTAGTGGATAATGTTAAAAGATGGTATTTGTTGTTACCCTGTCTGACGCTCTGCATTACGAGAATAACTGGTAAACTGTAGTAGGTTAATTGGCCAACACAAACCGGATTAGTACAAACGCGTGTGCATGCACCTCACCTCACCTCAAATAGCTGCAAAGTTGCTTCACCGGAAAACATAAGTCGTACCCGACTTCAAACGAAGCAAGGGGGCACGGGTGGCCCATTCGTCTGAGGCGCCGCCATTCCCTGTGCAGAGTTGCGTCCCTTGGGCATGCCAGAAACCTGTGATTATGGGGTCGAATCCCGGTTCGCCCCGATTACGTTTCTAGGTTTGTCAGCACCATACCCGTGCTCGTGTGTTTCACCGCCCTGGTAACGTCTGAGACCTGCATGGATTCGGGCTTTCCTCCCACATTAAGCTGACACGCCGTGATATAACTGGAATACTGTTAAAAGCGGCGTTAAACCAAACTCACTCACTCACTCACTCAAACGAAGCAATGGTGTCGAACTGGTCAAGGACGAGGGATGGGGATATTATACCCTGGGTAATCGAGTATGTTAGATTGACAGTCGTATCACGCTCATGTTCCATACACCTATTGACCACTTTCTAGGGGACGGTGGGGAAGTGGTTAAATCACTGACTCGTCACGCCGAAGGCTTCGATTCCCCACATGGCTGTTATCCTCCGACCCCTCTCCCACCGTGACTTGCCTGCCATACTCGCTCACTCTAATGTGATGACCGTGAAGATCCGGGTTAGAATTGGTCTTCAGCAACCCATGCTTGTCTAAAGAGGCGACCATGCTTGTCTAAAGAGGCGACCATGCTTCTCGCGAGAGGCGATTAACGCTGACTTGGTGGATGCATGCTATCTTGTGATGCGTAAATCGATGCTCATGTCAATCACTGAATTGTCTGGCTCAGGCGATTATTTACAGATCGCCGTCATATAGTGGGAATATTGCCCGGTGCCGTGTTAAACAACAAACAACAAAACTTTAATCTTAAGGGGCCCGTAAGGGTCCGTGTTAGTATTCTTCAGCATCCCATGGCCATGGCTGTTAGAGGCGACTATTTTTTTAAGGGGCGACTAACAAGATCGAGTGGTCAGGCTCGCGGACTTGTTTCTAATCGCATCCCAATTGCGTAGATCCATGTTCATGTCAGTCACTGGATTGTTAGGCCCAGACTCGAATATTTAAGGACCGCCGTCTAATAGCTGGCGTGGCGGCGTTGAACTACCCAAACATAATTGACCTGAGTGTTCTTTCGCAGGAGACCCACCACTCATGCTCACAACGCATACCAGTGACTTCATACTCCCAGTCCCGAGAACGCGGAGGTCTGCTACTCAGGACAAGCTAGACAAGTTCCTCCAGAGAAGAAGTCAAATTCAAGCCAAATACAAAAAGCATTTTACACTGTAGTGTTGTTGACAGAAGTAAACGTGTGATTTGTTTGTGTATGTTGTTTGGATTGAGAACCACTGTAGGAGCCATTGTCAGGCATCTTCCCATGTTTACATATTTACTTGTTAACAGGCTGTGACCTGGTAGATTGTGTGGTGTCACACATACTTTCAACAGACTCGATTATGGGCAGGCTATGGTCCGACTGAAATATTGCCGACTGAAGATCCAGGTCAGAAATAGTCTCCAGCAACCCACGCTTGTAAGAGGCGACTAACTGGATCGGGTGGTGGTTCTGATTTGACTGATGCATATCATCGTATCCCAGTTGCCTAGATCGTTGTTCATGGCAGTGATTGCCAATAGACCTCATCAGACACGGCCGCTATGGTAGCCTAGAGGTTAATGCGTTTCCTCAAAACGTCAAAGGTTCGAGTCCCCACACGGGTACAGTTTGCGAAGCTTTTTCTGGTATCCCAAGCCGCGGTAGCATTGGGATAGTGCTTAATTTAGTGTAAAACCAAACGAATAAACATGTGGCACTTTAACACCCCTGTTGGGATTCCATGACCGAAAATAAGTATATTTTAACCAAAATGGCAAACATGGCTGATTTGGCCCCATCGCACCTCAGCGGGTTGAATCGTTGTTGATCAATTTGTCTCAGGCCCAATCTGTGAGAACAGCCGTTTAGTTAAAGTGTTAACCGAAGGACAATGAACAAATGTTCAGTAATTTTCACTCAGCAGTATATCTTTTTTATTTTAAAGTGATGACAATTATTTATTTTGATATTGACCGGTCGTAGTTGTAGTAAAAAGAATTGCCACGAACGTGGGAATTCAAGGTTATATTAAGTACGACCCACCGATATCTACAATCCTATTATGTGCTGGCATCAATGTAATGTCTTGCCCAAATGCATAAGAACAGCTTCAGCCAATTAGTGTCTTCATTAATGGGTACATACATAGAAATCTAAACAAAATCACAAATCAGCTGATCGCCTCCGTGTTAAGTGAGGGAACGGAAGGTCCGGGGTTCCGATTCCAAAAGGCGTTAAGTACTTGTTACCCTGTCTAGCGCTCAACATTGGGGGACTAAAACAAGGACTGGTCGACTCGAAGTCAGTATACTGTGAGTGGAGTATTCATGTTAAACTGCGGCATAATATCAGGGAGCTAGCACGCACGCCTCTATATCAGTGCAATCATCTTGGGCACGACGTTTAACCCAATTTCACTCAACATCACAAATCAGCTGTCAAATCGTATCACAGAACGTAAATCTCTGGTACTAGAACCGCGAAATATACTCGACAAAAGTTCATGTGACACCAATATGGTGTATTTTTCAAACAAAGTTTGGTTTCCAATATTGTAGTACATGTATGGAATCAAGTCAGAAAAACGCAACTGCTACAGAAAAGCATGCATTCCATGCAAAAGTTGACTTTTATGCATGCCCCATGCATTTCACTACCCAAGAATGGGTATAAGTACGTGCGTTAACGGGATTCCATATACATTGTTTAGCATCGTGCTGACAACCACTCAGAAAAACAAAATTACGCAATTATTCAACATTACGAAATGCCACGCCTGTCCGAAAATGAGCGTCTGTGAGCCATTGGTATGCTTGAAGCGGGGATCGAGTCAACGTGATGTTGCAAGACTATTTAACGTCCACAGAAACACCATTTGGTGTTTATGGCAACGTTGGCAACAGACGAATGCAGTCAGAGACCATCCTCGGAGTGGCAGGCCACGCGTAACCAATAATCGACAAGACAACTGGATTCGAACAACACACCTACGAAATCGATTCCAGCCAGCAACAGTGACTGCAAGAAGCATCCCTGGCATTCGACGAATATCTTCACAAACCGTACGTCGTCGCCTCAGATGTGCAAGGATTGTCGCCAGAAGACCCGCCAGACGTCCCATTTTGACAGGAAACCACCGTCAAGCACGTCTACAGTGGTGCAGACAGCGTCTGCGCTGGACGGCCATGCAGTGGGGACAAGTTCTATTCATTGACGAGTCTCGTTTTCACCTCGGCAACAGCGATGGACGGATTCGAGTGTACCGACATCGAGGTAAACGTTACATCAATCATTGTGCCATGGAAGAAGATCGGTTCGGGGGCGGCAGCGTTATGGTATGCATGGGCGGATACAGGTTTTTTTAAAAGGAGGGGTGCACAATTAAGATCTATTTATTGTCTTTGGTGGTAATTTATAAAGAAATAAAAAAAAAAATCGAAATAAATACTGGTAGTGGGAAATCTCAATGGAGAGCGCTACCGCGACGAAATCATCGGCCCAGTTGAACTCTCACCAATCGAGCACATGTGGGATGAGATGGATCGGCGCCTTCGACGTCTACCACGTGTTCCACAGACACTCCAGGAACTTCGAAACATGTTCCAGCAGATATGGACAGATATCCCACAGGACTTTGTGCAACGCCTGGTCCATTCCATGAGACGAAGATGTGTTGCTTGCATCGCAGCCAGAGGTGGACACACGCTGTGCAGAGATGCGTTCCTTGGACACGCCAGAAACCTATGATTGTAGGTTCGAAAACTGGTTCGCCCCGATTATGATTGTGCTCGTGGGTTTCATCGAAGTAGTAAACGTCTGACACCTGCATCACTTTGGGCTTTCCTCCCACATTAAGCTGCCACGTCGTGGTTTAACTGGAATGCTGTTAAAAGCGTCGTTAAACCCTACTCACTCGCTCACTCACAACCTTCTGGACTGCTGTCAATCAGTTTACTAAAAGTGCCATACTGTGTATTAAAGCAAATGGAACGAATTGTTGGATTTCAACAGCTTTCTGTATGGGATTTCAAGTAGAAGGCATTTTCATCGTTATGGCACTATTCAGAATTTGAGACGTAGGTCATTATAATTGATAGAACTGAACTTAATCCATTTTATTTTACTTGCCTGAACAATGTTATAAGGAGAAGCTTCAAAGTCAGATTGTGCTAAAAAAGTTAAGGCGGCACAAAAAAATGAAAAAGAAACCTTTCAGTTATCAGGCCTACCAAAGAAAATCCACAGCTCCCAGACTATGAAATATGTACACTTTAAATAGAAATAACCACACAAATTACAAGGACACAATCTCCATAAAGTTTGCATCGTTACGAACCAGAATAATTTCAATTTAACCAATCACAGTAAATCACGCAGGCCGCAACCAATGGTTACACACTGCATTAACACACCATTATTGGTGAGGCATTTTCTCTGTGTGTGTATAGTCTTGTATTTGTTGTTGGTTTTCTTTGGGGTACCTGCTGACAGCACAATTAGCAACCATGTTTCCACAGTAAAAAGATGTATGTCTATTATGTAGATCGATGCTCACGATGTCAATCTCTAAATTGTCTGGTCCAAACCCGATTATGTACAAACAGCCGTCATATACATGTAGCTGCAACAACGCCGAGGGGGCGTTAAACAACATTAATAAGAGTTATGATATTACAATGAAAGGTAGGTAGTACAATGCAAATTGTGTGCGTGGCGGGTGCTTCCGGTAAAGCAAGGCAATGGTTTCCCTTTTCGCGAACACCTGGTGTCATTGATTTTCATTGATCAATTCAGATATCAATCACCATTTGTGCTTTGTACGCCCAATGGAATTTTGTTCCCTCGACACTCGACACTGATTATTCTCAGACGTTGACGTTTTATATTTTCAATTTTAAACCACAAAAAAATATATACTTGATGTCTTGTTGGACCATTAGTTGGCTTCATTCAGAGAAGGAAGTTGTCTTTCAGCCGAAAATATACATTCATAATATTAAACGTCCATAGCTATAATTACTATTTCATGTGTATACAATTAAAACGAACAGAATTGTTCACTGTTTCCGTCGTGGGAAATAAGGTGATACACGCACGTCCTTTCATCTCGCCAGCGTTCCAAGAATCACGGTCGTAACACTGCGACTAAACACAGAGAAGCACAGAAAACAGGTCTTGTTTAGACAGAGAATTATTCAGTCACAGGAAATAGATATGGTAGGCCAGGATGATACACGTGCATCCTCTTTATCTAGTCAGCATCCCAAGAATCACGGCTGTTACACTACTACTTAACACAAAGAAGCATGCAAAACAGGTCTTGTTTAGTTTAGTTTCAATATCTGCCCACTCTGGCCTTACCTGCTTTTGATCCTCAACATTGCCACTTTCGTCATCCTCAACATTGCCACTTACAACATCAACTTTGTTTGAAGCAGAGTCTTTCTGGCACCTTCTTAAGATCCATTTCGGCGGTGGCATATCTTTCATTTTGAGGAGGAGGATGTTGACAACGACGATGATGACACTGGTGGAGTTGGCCAGAGACACGTAGATGCTGAAGAGGCTGACGGTCAGGGAGTTCTCAGGCAGGGAGTCCCTGATGATGGACAGAAACAGCTGGAAGCTGAGGAGGACAGACACGGCCATGCTGGTCTTCTCTCCACTCTGTGAGGGCAGCAAGAACACGAAGGTGTTGAGGAAGAAGAGGAGGACCACGGGGAGCAGGATGTTGAAGATGTAGAACATAGGGCGTCGTCTCAAATGGATGGTAATATATAATCCACGTTCCTTATAAATACCGATTTGCTCAGCGACGTCTTCAGTGTAAATTTCAAACTCGCTATTCTCTTCAAATAGTCCCATGTTAACATCTGTTTCACTAGAAAGATGTATTTTATTGTATAAACCGAACCATCCACCTATTACAACTGAACAAGTCTGGGTATCGAAGGGAAACTTGTAAATGTTGATAGGACACTTGGTTTCTATTCTCCCTGTGTGGAGCAATGTAATTTCACCATGACTGGTAACCAGCAGAGGCGCTCCATTCTGCAGTAGCTCTTGTCCCTTGATGCTATTTCCTATCATCAATTCAGGTTTCCACAATTTGTCTGAGTCCGCAAGAATACTTTTCTGTGAGCTCAACGAAGCATTCCAAATAACTCGATGGTCGTACCATGAAAATGTCATCCACATTGTGCTGCTCAGAAACTGCTTTTTGTT